TCAACTCTTTCATCAAAAAGACGATCAAACAGTGTAGTTTCTCTGCAAATCACTATTGTCCCTGGAAAAAAAATGGAGACTCAATCGGCATATGACGGCAACATTAGGCACCAGCATGGTGAAAAAATCTTTTGGAGTCTGGTTATGGTGTGAATTTCTCTGTTTGAAATTGCGTTTTAACCTTTTTGGGCCATTAATTTTCTTACAGGAGAAGGGGGAGACGACCTGCACCAAGAGAAACAATCGGTTTTGAGAAAGGTTACGGCAAAGGCAAAAAAGATAAAGGATACGATTAAAAAACATAGCCCTGGACATCACCATGATCATGGTAATGATGAGTACCGTGAGGGTCAGATACCTGATGATCATGACGTGGACGAGGAAGACGACAATGGAGAAGAAGAAATTGTTCAAAATCCAGAAGTTCATGGAGCACCATGTATGTTTCCTAGTATTACTTTTCATCATCCTTGGCATGTTTGTCTGTTTTGTGTGCGTTTAACTTACTGAAAATCATCTGTGGTTCTCGGCAGTGAACGAGTCTGCCGCTGCCAAAAAAGTCGTCTACGGACAACCGGCGGACTTGAGCCGTCCTGGAATTACAAATGTCGAGACGTCAAAACCCTTGCCGACGGATCTAATAGCTTCAAGGGAGAGATCTGAAAACTATAACATTGGAAACTACGAGACAAAACACAATGATCCACCGAACAGCGCTGATAGTGGCTTGGAGGCCCCTCTAGTGGGAGAACAACCGAGGGTCGACTTTGGGAAGACGACTGATACTGTCGAGGAACCTCTAGCACCAAGTATGTTTCCTAGTACTCGGCATGTTTTTCTGTTTTCTCTCTGTGTGTATTTTAACCTACTAAAATTATCTATCGTTATCGGTAGTGTACAAGTCTGCCGCTGCAAAAAATGTCGTCTCCGACCAACCAGAAGACTTGAGCCGTCCTGGAATAACCAATTTCGAGACGTCCAAAGCCTTGCCAACCGATCCACTAGCATCACGGGAAAGATCTGAAAACTACAACACTGGAAATTACGAGACAAAACAACATAATCCTCCGAATAGTACTGTTAGTGGTTTGGAGGCGCCTTTAGTGGGAGAACAACCGAGGGTAGACTTTGGGAAGACTACCGATACTGTTGAGGAACCTCTAGCACCAAGTATGTTTCTTAGTATTGCTTTCATAATCCTCGGCGACGGCGTATGTGTTTAACTTGCTAAAAATCATCTGTTGTTCCTGGCAGTGAACGACTCTACCGCTTCCAAAAATGTTCTCTCCGGGCAACCAGAAGAGTTGAGCCGTCCTGAAATTACAAATTTCGAGGCATCAAAAGCCTTGCCAACGGATCCACTAGCATCAAGGGAAAGATCTGAAAATTATTACACTGGAAACTACGAGACAACCCACATTGATCCATCGAACGTTGTCAGTGGCTTAGAGGCACCTTTAGTGAGAGATCAACCGAGGGTTGACTTTGGGAAGACGACTGATACTGTTGAGGAACCTCTAGGATCAAGTACGTTTCCTAATATAATACTTGCATAATCCTAGGCATGTTTGTCTTTTTTGTGGGCGCATATGTGTGTTTAACTTACTAAAAATCATCTGTTGTCCTTGGCAGTGAACGACTCTGCCGCTGCCAAAAATGCCGTCTCCGGACAACCAGATGACTTGAGCCGTCTTGGAATTACCAGTTTCGAGACTTCAAAAGCCTTGCCAACCGATCCACTAGCATCAAGGAAGAGATCTGAAAATTATTACACTGGAAACTACGAAACAAAACACAATGATCCATTGAACAACGCTGTTAGTGGCTTGGAGGCGCCCCTAGTGAAAGATCAACCGAGGGTCGACATTGGGGGGACGACCGATACTGTCGAGGAACCTCTAGCACCAAGTATGTTTCCTATTATTCCACTCATAAACCTTGGCATGTTTGTCTGTTCTCTGTGTGTGTATTTGAACTTGCTAAAATCATCTTTCTTTCTCGGCAGCGTACGAGTCTGCCGGTGCCAAAAATGCCGTCTTCGGACAATCAGAAGACTTGAGCCGTCCTGGAATTACAAATTTCAAGACGCCAAAAGCCTTGCCAACTGATCCACTACCATCAGGGGAAAGATCTGAAAACTATTACACTGGAAACTACGAGACAAAACACGATCCACTGAACAGCGCTGTTAGTGGCCTGGATGCGCCTCAAGGGAGAGAACAACCGAGAGTCGACTTTGGGAAGACGGCTGATACAGTCGAGGAACCTCTAGCGCCGCAAAAACACTCCTCTTCCTTCAAGTTATCAAGTAAAAGATGACAATCCTACAGAAACTTTTGTTCATGGGAAACAGGGATATGAATATCCAGAGCAACAGAAAGTTAATCTGCAAAGACCGAAAGGGTTGGATGAAGACGATGCTGTTCCAAAAGACACTTTTGATGCTTATACTGAAAAAGGTTAAATCATTTTCTAGACTGAGAGTACATTTAATTTGTTGCCTATGCATTGCATTGACTCTACTAGTCACAGTCCATTCAATTATGATAACATTGTAACAGGTGGAGAAGCAACAGGGATTGCTCCAATTCTTCATTCAATAGACAAAATGAAAATCTACGATGAGCATGACACGGGAAGAGAGCAAAACTTACCTTCTGCAACTCAACCTAAATCATCCGAGTTATCCTTTCCGACCGGAACCCATGACCAATTCTCACCCGAGCCAACTCGACCATTAGGCACCGTTCCAACTCCTCAAGAGCACACACATAACGTAGACAAACCGTCAAACCGGGGCAGTTACACAGAAAAAATTTCATCTGCAACCTCTGCCGCTGTAGATAAAGCGGTGCCGGACAAGAACATTGTTGCTTCAAAGCTCGGGTACGATGAAAAAGATCAGGCTCAATGTCAGAGCCCGAATGAATCCCGTGAAGGTCAAAACACGACTAAGCAAGAATCGGCAATAGATTATGGAAAGACAGATAAACCAAGTCCAGTTTACGAGGAAGCTGCCGGAGCGGGAACCACCGTCATGCCGAAGGTACACGGTCCTGGCTCTGGAACCGCAACCGGAGTGGAAACAGAGAAGGTTCAAGATCAAGATAAAGGGGAATCTCAGTCTGTAAAGAGCTATATTGCGGAAAAATTTAAGCCCGGCGATGAAGATAGAGCTCTATCAGAAGTGCTTTCGGAGGCTCTGCAAAAGCGAAGTGAGGATTCTCCCGAGGCCGAGAAGGAAACAAGGGCAAGTGTTAAGGTGACCGAGTCGAAGGAGGTGGCGACCCCGGAAAAGACTAGTCCGACTCAGAGCATGGTGGATAAGCTTAAAGGTGCTGTTGGTTCATGGTTTGGTAAAGGTGAAGGGAACCAAAGAACTCAACAGACACATGGGTCATCATATGGTAAGTAACTATCTAAATCTACGTATGTTTATTTTCTTTCTTGCTTGTTGATTTGTTTCCTTTTCACTGCATCAGATACTACTGGTTCTTCAGCTTCTGCCGACGGCCGAACTCTTCAAGAGTCGGGCAATTGATTCAATAAGAAATAACAAGGCATGCAATAATGGAGATTATAATGCTTTTTGTAACAAAAATGAATCAAGTCTTCTTTTTTCTTTTTAATGCGTGTAGCCATGGCTTATGGCCTCTGTTTGATGTGTGTATTTGCTTCCAGTGTGGGATGTATATTTTGATTAATAAATTTACAGCAAAATGAAATTGTATAAATGTATTTCTTCATCCTATTTGTCATGATCTTGATGTTACACTTACAGTGTGAAATAGGGGTCCTACCCACAACTTGGTTGATGTTAGGAACCGTTCGAACATATCATTAGTACATTTCGATAGTGATAGAAACATTTTGAAGAACTATATCATATTAAATTTGAAGTTATTGGCCAAATAAAAACATTTTTTTAGTCCCAGAAACAACCCTTTCTTTCTCTCCGAGTTACTCTTAAGATTATGATTAGAATTAATAATTAGGGTAAATTATGTGACTCTTAAGATTACAATTAGAATTAATAATTAGGATATTTTGATCCGTTTTAATATTTAAACTTTTTATTTTTCTTCATTTCTTTTAAGATTATGATTTGAATTATAATCTGTTTTAATACTTAAATTTTCAATCTTTGTTCATTTCTTTTAATATTATAATTAGAATTAATAATTATGGTAAATTACATGATTAGTACTTAAATTATCAGTTTTGATCTATTTTAATACTTAAACTTTTAATTTTTGTTCATTTTAATACTTCTATTCAAAATTTAACATTAATTTCAAAACACAAAATCTAACATTAATTTCAAAACAAATAAAAATTTAGATACTATAACTGACTACGACTGATAGTTTAAGTACTAACGCGTTAAACTTTTAATGGTATGGTATCAAAATAAAACAAAAATTAAACATGGGTATGAATTTAAAAAAAAATAAAGTTTAGATATTAAAAGGGATATGACTTTAAAAAAATTAAAAATTTAGATAATAAAACGAACATAAGCTGATAGTATATGTGTTAAATGTTTAATTTACCCTAATATTTATTAAAAAAAGTTTAATTTGAATTCTATATAATTTGTATTATAACTTTTAATTGTTTTATATCATTATAATTTTTTGACATATATAATCACCTTTTTTATATTATTACAAGAAAATTTATCCATTTCATTATTTATTCAGTGTGCTATTAAAATTTAATAGTCCATTGATATGACTAGACTTAAAATTAAAAACTATAATGAGAATAAATAAAATTTACATAATATAAAATATATATCATCTAAAATTTAGTGGCATATGATCTAATTTATTCCACGCTATATTTAAGTTTGAATTAATAAAATAAAAGGAAAATAATTTAGGAACCGGGCCAAATCCAAATTTCAAAACCCCATGTCGGATCAGGTGGCCCGTGAAAATATATGTTTGTTTCGCCTGCTAAACCACAAAAACGCACCGTTTCTCAGAAAACCCTGGTCGATTTTGCACTCCTTGGTCAATATTCACTGCTCCCTCGCAGATCGTATCTTCTTCTTCTAGTTTCTCACTTGGCCTCTTCTCTTTTTTTGCCAGCGAAATCTGCAAAACTCTTTTGGGAGACGGGGAATCTCTATCCTCCTTAAAAGCTTATAATCCCTCCATCGACGTCTTTAATCCCAGGTAAGTTCCCCAGTCCAACTGTTCACAGAGAAACTGTAGCTATTCGATGATAATTTGCTACCCCAGTAAACATCTATCGTGCAATTGGGTATTTTCAGCTTAATGGGTATTTATCAACTCGAGATCACAACGTTTCTCGAGTTTTCCGTGTTTGGGTATCCCAATTTACTATTGCGTTTCTTGGATTCGTTGGGTTTTCTAAAGACTCAAAGATAATGGGAATGATCCAATGCTTACCGCGTACTCAAAATGAACTCTCTAGCTCTATTCGGTGCAAGGAATGTTTATAAATCATGTTTTATCATCATTTTATCGAGAAAATTGTGTAGTGGCAGTAGTTTTGATGGCGATAAAATTGATTGTGATTTTTATTGTTCGGATGAACCCTTGAGGAGAATGTGGAAGGGTCCCAGTTTCGACTCTATTTTTGATGAAACTCATGATAGTTGTGGGGGGTGCGTAAGCGAATCGGAAACCGGTTTTACAGCTAGAAAAGGTTTTTCGAGAGCGGAAGGGATGATGCTAGGAGAATTCTTGAGGTTTTAGAACAAGAGGAGCCGGGATTTGATGCAAATGTTGCTATTAGTGAAATGCAAGTGAGGGTCTCCGGGTTTCTTGTGAGAGAAGTTCTCAAGGGAATTTTGAAGAACATTAATCATGCGAATAAGACCAGGTATGCAAAACTAGGGTACAAGTTTTTTGTGTGGTCTGGTCAGCAAGAAGCTTATAGGCACACCACAAATTCGTATCATTTGATAATGAAGATATGCGCAGAGTGCGGGGAATACAAGGCAATGTGGAGACTAGTGGATGAGATGACAGAAAATGGCTTCCCTGCAACAGCAAGGACATTTAACATTTTGATATGTACGTGCGGAGAGATAGGCTTAGGTAGGAAAGTTGTGGAGAGGTTCATTAAGTCAAAAACATTCAATTATAGGCCGTTTAAGCATTCATACAATGCCATTCTGCATACACTTATCGGTGTGAACGAATACAAGCTAATTGAGTGGGTGTACCAGCAGATGTTAGCTGATGGTTTTTCCCCAGATATTCTTACTTACAATATTCTTATGCACGCAAAATACAAATTGGGGAAGTTAGATCAATTCCACAGATTACTTGATGAAATGAGTAGATGTGGATTTTCCCCTGATTTTCATACATATAACATCCTTCTGCATGTTCTTGGCAGAGGGGATAAACCACTTGCAGCTCTTAATCTATTAAATTACATGAAAGAGATGGGATTAAACCCAGGTGTTCTTCATTTCACAACATTGATAGATGGCCTGAGTCGTGCTGGAAACTTAGATGCTTGCAAGTACTTTTTTGATGAAATGGTAAAGAACGGATGCGTGCCTGATGTCGTCTGCTACACTGTAATCATTACAGGATACGTTGTGGCTGGGGAGCTGGAGAAAGCTCAAGAAAAGTTTTGTGAGATGATTGCCAAAGGACAACTTCCGAATGTATTTACATACAATTCGATGATTCGTGGTTACTGTATGGCCGGAAAGTTCGAGGAGGCACATTCCATACTTAAGGAAATGGAGGTGAGAGGATGTAACCCAAATTTTGTTGTGTATAGTACTCTAGTGAATTATTTGAGGAGTGCTGGAAGGCTTTCTGAAGCTCGTAAGGTAATAAGAAACATGGTGAAGAAGGGGCAGTATGTTCATTTAGTCTCAAAGATCAAGAGATAGAGAAGATGCTAAGCAGTAGATTTTACAATATAAACATTGTTTATTGTAACTTAATTGCCAGTGTACCCATTGGTTCAGCTATGTCGGCATTCAGCGCCACGTACCTGCTGCATGTAATAGGTGTCAAGGACTAGAAAGGATAAAGTATGCACATTCTTCTTTCCCTTCTTATCTGGTATTCAATTTGGCTGAAACAATGGAAGTATGGAACTCAATAAAAAGCGAAATTAATTCATCTTCTCCCTTCTTAATCAACTTTCCTACTCTGGTCAGTTGGCCTCATGATGAAGTCTTAACAGTTTTTTTCCCTCTTTTTTTATGGTTCTTTAGTTATATTTTTCTGAATTATAATTAATAACCTAATCCAGGGATTAAGCAAAACTAAGAGATAATGGTAAACAGAGTTTCCTCTAAGGACGGTGCACATGTGGTAGCTTGGGTTTGACTCGGAGGATTATCTGATACTTGGTGCTTGTTAGTTCTGAAAAGCATGAAAGGGAAAATCGAGTTGAAAGATGAGCTTGGCAGTGGTCAAATGATGATAATGTGCAGTATCACAGTGGAGGTTGAGTTTTCTGTAGAGTTGCGGTGATCATGGTGATGATGCCTCTGAAGAATTAAGAGGATCAGTTTACTAATCTTGACACCTTCTTCTACCGAGGAATGCAACTTACGATTCATGAATTGTAAGGTTTGATTTCGTTCAATGAACATGAATGCAGTAAAGTTATACAGTTTCAACTTTCAATCCTTTGTAGAATACGGATTCCTCTTCTCTAGGTTGGCATTTTCAGAAGATATAATTAAATGTTTCTGTTTTGCTCTTATTTTCACTGCCTTGTTAAGTGCTGTGTCTTATTCAAATATAGACGTCTACAAAGGTGTTAAATGTTAATGATAATGTTGTTCATAGAAAGAGGGCAATAAACTGATAAGTTTTTTTTATTTCCTTGTCATGTAGGTTTCATATATTCCATGCATCACTGAAGAACTTTTGCCTTGGATTCCATCTCGGATTCACAAAGATTCACCTCAAAGGTAGCCTGCCTGGTGCTTCATTCCGTTTGTAACCTTTTCGGCCTCTTTGAGTTTACAGGGCTGCACACCGGGTGAATTTCTTGCCGTTTTCCATATTGCTCATCTGATTTAAGTCAACTTACAATGGTGAAATTCTTAAATAGTCTGACAGAAGAAAGAATGGCATCTGTAGGCTTATGTGAAACATGCCCTATAGTTCCTAGTGGAAAATACTATGTTCAATTTTGCAACGATATATCATCACCATCATTAGAGGTGTCGACTGTTGAACCGTCACCTGAATAAGGTTTCATTCTTTTAGTTTTGGGCACTGCAACAAGGAGAAACATGTAGCCAGGTTTAAAGAAACGGGGACCTTCAGGCTTCCTCTATAGTTAAATGTTTATTTTAATATTTTATTTCATATTTCTTGATATTATATATAAGCTCTTACAATTTTTGGCAATCCTCAAAGTTCATTCCTCTTATCCACCTGTAATCCCAAGCGTCAACTCAGAGAAGAAGATCAAAGACACCTCCTTCATGTCGACTTCCATGTCCTCGGTAAGCTTTTACAGAAAAAAAACCTTTGCAAAGTTTCATGTTGCTAGCTTTAACAAGGAATAGTCTTTGGTCTCCTGTTGCCTGGTCAGTTTTCGAGTCGTTTACATTTGTAGTCATTCTTGAAAGCATAGCAATACAAAGCATGAGAGACATAGCTACCTGTTTGCTGGATGAGATCAGTGGCTTAGCATACATGAAAATCAATGGTGAAAGTAACTCAACTCTCAACCATCAGCCTCACTGCCCTTTATTTATTCTCTTGTACAAGGTTTAATTGTATCTAGAACTTGAAAATTAATGGTGGGAAATCAATGTTTTACCTGAGTAGTTCTAGCTCAAATGGCCATTTGTGCAGTTCACTAATTCGATTAAGAGGGTTTATCAGGGATGGCGAAGTCTAAATTGTTCCCATAAATTCCTAACTAATCTGTTTCGACATTCGAACAAAGATGATTCTTTCTTTTAACAGTGAAGTTGGGGATGAGGTATTTTCTCTCGTCGATCCCGTTCCGTCTCTATATTTCATTGGATAGACGCGACCCGGGACAAAATGGTTACGAGCGAGACTATTGGCAGTACAAGCCATGCCAACAATCGCAAAGCACACCGAGAGTAAAACTAGGTGGTACAAAGCATGCCAACTATGCGTCCTTGGCTTTTATGAATAATAAAGGCGGTACGGGAAGAATGTAATAAATAGAGGTAACCAGAATATTCGAATATGATAAATTTTTTTGGGCAATTATAAGTTTAGTACTTAAATTATTAATTTTAATTCATTTTAGTACTTAAGCTTTTATTTTTTCAAAATCATACCTAAAATTTAGTTTTAGTTTTTGTTTTAATTTAATATATTGCCGTTAAAAACTTTGATTTTTGTTTTATTTTAATACTCGTTCAAAATTTAACGTTAAGTTTTGAAAAAAATTGAAATGAATGAAAGTTTAGGTACTAAAACGAATTAAAATTAGCAGATTAGATATAAACACATTAAATTTCTTTTAAAGAATACTAAAATAAATAAAATGAAAACTCTTGCTAATTATAGTCTGCTAATACACTACTAATTAAACAAGAAACCAAAACCCCTTTCAAATTGCTCGTTGAGCATTGGCTCATTCAGTTTCTTGAACTAAAATAACTCTTTCTTTAACCTTTTCAGGTAGAGGAGCTCCAAAAACATTAAAGGCAAAGTAATACATTCAGATCAACACAAAAATCATTTCTTTTCTTCCTTCTTCTCTTCTTTCTTTTCCTCTTTCTTCTCTTCCAGCTTCTCCTTTTCCTCTTTTCCTCCTCCTCTCTTCCTTCTCTTCTTTAGCAGGTCTGATTGATATTATATCCACTTTGCCTACTTTCTTCAGCTTCTTCACCACACTGCATCCATCTCCCCTATCACCCTCAGCTTTGATCCTTTAGATCCGCCGCTATCGAATCAACCCGACCACCCACACAAAACAAAAGGAGCCTGTAATTGCCCTGATTTGTAACAGTATCCCATAAAAGGATAATCACACGCAACCGAGATCTGATGTTTGTTTTAAAAAGATATTATTGTATGCTAGGTGTTTGACAAAATACCAAAGATATCTGCAGTAGCTTCTATGGATTTTTGCTTGGTTTTGTCATCGGTCATGGTTAGAACTTTCAAGACCACCTTCTGCTAAAACAGTGAAACGAGTTACTACACGAGACATGGTGGGGAAGAAGATGAAGAATAACATCAAGATGAGAAAAACAAATAGCGTGTTAGTAGAATAATTAAGAACAAAGGGAAAAGGAAAATCACCTGCGCCATTTTGCTGTGAAAATAATGTGAAATTGAGTTAGTTAGGAAAGTAAATGAGCTTTCGAGGACCAGCTTGGCCTTTTATAAAGTGTGAAAATCGAGGAGGTCCGCACTCTGATTTACCAGGGAACCTTTTGTGTATGGTCAGGTTAAAGTTGCTGAATGAGTTGATCAATTCGTGTCTTTGATTGGATAAAATCTGATCATAATAAATTTACTTAGTTTGAGGTCAAAGCTATTTAAATAATTTTAAGTCAAAACCATTTTATTAATTTAGTTTTTACTAATATTAATTGTTCAAGTAATGACGTGTTAGTTCATCATGTGATGGTTTATTCGCTGACTTAACAATTATAAATAAATGATGGTATGACTAATGTATTGAATTGATTTTTAACATACTTTGGTCTTTGATAACGTAATTAATTTTTGTATCGATTTTAAGAGTAGGAGTAGATTAAATTTCAAAAACTAAAAATTCATATTAAATAAGTCATCAAACTTTTAATTAAAATCAAATATGTTCTTAAACTCGGTCAAAAAAATAATTTCTCTTAAACTCAATTAAAAAAATCAAATCAGATATTCTACTATGTCATAATTTACATATAAAATGTCACATCATTATAATGAATTATTACGTCAAACTTATTAAATGTTATATCAATATCGTAACAATTGAAGTTGATTGAATAAATTGATAAAATTAAATAACATTGAGCATAAAATTATTATTCGAACTGAATCTATACTACTGATTCTGTTAGCTTTTCTAAAGGAACTCAGGTATCCCAGTCGTTTTCTTAAGCATTCAAACAATGATAGTCTTATTTCATCCTACTTTATTCTCGTTTCAACGTTTGAATTAAACAATACTATTGTTCTCACGTGTAGTCTTATTTAGGAGGAATTATAATTTTTTAGGAAACCTCACTTACCTCTATACTTTCGCTTGACTTAAAACCCATTTCCTATCCTTGGTATCGATACTGACCTTACAATATCGAGACCCTCGCTTGCCTCTACACTTACTCGTGCTTTAAATCTCAAACCATACATTGGTATCGATATTGGCCTTACAGTATCAATACCCTCTTTGCAGTATCGATACCCTACCTAAGGTATCCATTTTAACCCAACTTTAAACACTTATTCAATTCCACTTATGGTCATACTATGGGTATAGGGCCTCTTGGCAACGTTTTGACCAAAACTTACTGAAAAAATCGATACTAGCCCAAGAGTAATGATACTCCTGTAAAAGTTTCGATACTTTATATAAGTATCGATAATTTTAAACCTTCTATTTTGTGAAGTTTCGAAACTATGACCCAAAGTTTCGATACTCTTTTAAGAGTATCGATACTCTTGCTCAAAAACTCACAAATTTTCCCAAAATGAAGAACAATTATCAATACTATCCCTATATTCATACTCTACCTACAGAAGACATAATACACATACGAAAATACTATATTTCAATCCCAAAGATCCTAGTGAGGTCCCCAAACATTCTTTAAAGTCTTATGTGATTACAATGAGCATAAATAAGGTTTTATATCATGCTTATAACATAAATCATGTAATCTACCATTAACATATAACACTAAGTTTCATAACTTACTCTCAAGCTAGAACTCATTTATAATGATCACTAAGAGTATGGAAGAGTTGATACTGTGTTACCTTATTGCCTTGGCTGCTAAAACCCCTCTTGAATCAACTAGAATTCACCATACCTTCAAGAAAAACTCATTATGAAGACAAATCCTAAAACTCACATAATGGAGCTTGAAACAAAGCTTGAAGGATAGAGAGACACATTCTTACCTTGCCTACAACAAACTAAGCTTGAATCCTTAAAACTTTTTCCTTAAGAAAGGAAGAAGAAAAAAGAAAATGATGAAGAATAAGAGATGAGTGTTTGATGAGAAAATGGTGGGGGTGGTTCACGTAAACATGATATAAAAAGGAAAGAATTTTCAGCTTTTAGTTTTAACTATGGGCAAACTACATTATTAGTCCCCCAACTTCTAAAAAATAAAACTCTTATCACTTAACCACAATTCCCTTAGGCCTCAACTCAAGCCCACTAACACTAAACTTGGTCCAAGTAATTTATAAAGTCTTTTGGGATCAAATTTGAGTTTCGGGTTGACCCTAGCTACTAACCTTGTATTCGGGGTGTTATAATTCATATATTCCAAACTCGTTATTTTTGTTAAAAATTTAGGGTTATATGAGCTGGATGTTAACATGTTAATTGAGATATGATAGTTGTTTGAGATTCTAGGATCATATTTTATCATATCTCAATTAACAAATTAATGTTTAGCTCAGTCTTTAGTCAATTTTATAACGAAAAAGAACGAGTTCAGAACATATGAATAGTCGAGTGACCATTTTGCAACTTTTAGTAGTCGAGAGACTCAAGAAAACAACACTCTATAGTCGAAGGACCATTTTATAACTTTTAATAATCGAGGGACTCAACAAATCAACATCAATAGTCGGGGACCATTTGTGTACTTTACCCTAAATATTAAAGATATATTAAGGAATAGTAATTATTAAATCATTAACTTAGAATTTAAACGCATATTCTTTCCAAATACAAATCTAAAAGAAGATACATATATATTACGTTCACATGATGGAGCAAGCATGCGGATTATCTTCACTGAAAAGCGAAGCAACGGCCTCGTCGGAAGCAACAGCGACGGAGTAAACATCTGGAGTATGGAAGAAAGTATGAACGCCATCGGAAGCTTCGTTCTTGTAATAGTCATAGTAATGGTTGACTATGTAGGATGGATACTTGAAAAACGATGCGTAGTGGGAGTATCCCAGAAACGGCCACGCCTCCGCCGCTTTCCCTGCCCGTTTGATGACTTTTAGCACCTTCTTTTCTTCCAGGCCATAGCCTCGAACTGTGATTTTTTGGATCTCCATTTCTACCTCCACTTCTTCAACCCCTAAAAACAATGCGCATGGAGCATAGCATAGTTGGGCTGTTAGTCTAGATTTGGGGCTTTTTTAGCCCATTACAGCGTCCCAGAAAAATTAGGGAATTAGGATAATTTGACTTTTAATTTGAGATCGATATTTGATATAATGCATGAAACTCGTCACCTCGAGATGAGAGTTTCTATAAAAAAATATTTTTCAATTTTTTACCCCTATGTGATAAAAATTAATAAAAAATATATTTTTATTGAAACTCGTCACCTCAAAATGACAAGTTTGAATAAAAAAGTATTATTTAGGTGAAGTAGTCATTGACGTGACGAGTTCATTAAACACGTAACAAATGTCGGAGATCTCAAATTATAAATCATGTGCCCTAGAACCCTAATTTCTTTTTCTAAGTGCAGTATTGGGCCCATTTTTATTAAGCACATTTCTTATGAAAATATATCAAAATCATTAAATTTATCGAACTATTATAAATTGATTCCTAAAATCATCTAAATTTATCACTATTTTATAATAATCCGATAAATCTTTCAATCATTTTATAACTTGTAAAAGTTTAATGAACAAAAACATCATTTCAACCTAGTTTACCATTTGTATGCTTTACCTTATTATTTAGGATAAATAACACATTTAGTACTTAAATTATTAGTTTTCGTCCATTTTAATACCTAAACTTCCTTTTTTTAAAACAATACCTAAAGTTTAGTTTTTGTTTCGTTTTAGTACCCCGTTCAAGTTTAACGTTACATTTAAAAAAATGAAAGTTTAAGTACTAAAACAAACCAAAACTTATAGTTTAGGTACTAAATGCGTTAAGTTTTTAACGACGGGTGCTAAAATGAAACAAAACTAAATGTTAGGTATGGTTTTAAAGAAAAAAACTAAAAGTTGGGTACTAAAACGGACCAAAATTGATAGTTTATGTACTAAATATGTAGTTTACCTCCTATTTATATAGTGCATGCAGCATGGTGGCAAAACTAAGGGGTAGATAGGAGCCGTGGTCCCTTAAAACGAGGAGACTATTTTATATTCCCTTAAGAAATCATGGAATTTTAAATTAGTCCAATAATAAATTACACTTTGATCCTTCAAAATCTATGATTTCATTTGGATTCCTAAAAAAATTTCTGAATTCGTCATGCATGCATACTAATCTTGGTTCTAGTTATACACTTGCTTAAAATTTACAGACTCCACGGCAAAGCTGGAGTTAATCAAGGAGGCAAAATCAACGAATACAACTCATTTTAAGTATACCTTTGAGCTTTAAGAGAGCTTTCTTTAACTTGGAGGCACAGCCCTCACAATCAAGGTTTGGAACTCTTACTTCAAGCATCTGCAATAAGTTGAACCACATTATCAGCACCTGCAACGAAACATCAACTCCAAATCAACACAACACAACAGACACACAGAACTCATAGCAGACATGGTTGTAATAAGGCCATCCTTAGTTTAGGGTTTTAAGTCGGAGGTAAGATATAGAAAGATACAATTAAACAACTTTGAGGGTTAAATTAATACGAAAATACGACAGAGACAAAAATGATAAATTGAGTATACTACAAATATAAATGTCATTCTTAAACCTATTTTGAAAATATTTATATCGAATTAATTAAAATAGATTTGAATGCTAAACTATATGTAGTATTGAATATAGTAAATATAGTATTTGAGTATGTTACTATTTCATTAATTGAAGCAATTGTGACTTAGCCACCTTCAAATGGAGAAAGGTCCAAAGGAAAGAAAAATAATATTAATTTTTCGTGTTGGAATATAAAATTGAATTAGTTGTAATTATTAGTTATTAACTGATTATCAAGTTGTTAATTATGTTAGATAATATTAATTTTTTTATTAATTTATAATAAATATAAAGTAATATATATTTAAAAATAATTTTTAATTATTTATCATTTAATGCTCACCATTTCTGATATTTTTAATAGTCAATTTCCAGAATTCAAAAAATAACAATATTTTTTTATTACTGAATAAATAAACGGTAACTTCATTTGGAGGGTTTGAATTTAGATTCTCTAGGATGAAAAATAAAAAACTTGTGGTTCAGGGGATTCGAACCAGACTGTCGGTACAAAGTTAATATAAAATAAAATTTAAACAAAAAGTGAAGTATGTCAGACAATTGCATGACTACCCCAGCAAGACCAGACAAGTTGAGAACGACCATGTACGATCTAGGTGACCCACTAATGAGTCACCGATCCAATAATCACACAGGCTCGATTCATCAATCAGACTTGAAATCATGTTATCTTAGAACTCAGAGACAAGAGAGAGATTAATATTTGTGTATGCAAGTTGATATCATTTAAGTATATTTTAAGTTTGAGTTATCGTATGTACAAAAATTTTTGTTAAAAATTTATCTATTAAAATTAAATGTACGACTCATATCAATCATGATTAATCAAGATAAAACCTTAAAAATTAGGAGAGCAACGGAAAAAATACATAGGTACGAGCCTATAGAACAAATCCTGTCGTAAATAAGGAGTGGGGCATAAAACCTAATAGTATAGTGGACTAAGGAGCTAAGTTTTTGTAATTTTGTGTGATTGAAGAAATACAAGTTTATTTTCTTTCTTTTTCGAGTTTATTAAAACCCTCCAACTCTTTGAGCCGTCGACGTTCACCCAATATATCATTATTCACAAAGAGTTACTAAAATTTAAAGGAAATATTTGACTATTTCTTTAATAATGTGGCATCTAAAATTTGTCTCAAGGATCGAGGAGACTCGAAATAAAGTGAATCAAAACTATTAAAAGGGACTCTTATGATCGAAATGAATTGTAATGACCTGAAGAATTCTGTTACATGGCGGCATTGACTAAGACAAAGAGTCCTTATGGCCTTATGGAAGGCCAAACTAATTCCAGTTTGAGTTAAGAGCAAGTCAATATACCAGAGAACGTACAAAGTGATCCAATTTAAGTTCCTTCTAAAGAAACGACAAAGTTTTGCTAGATTTGATGAGGGAAAGTATAAAATAGGGAGAGTAATTTAACCCGGAATTTGATGATTTTGATTCGTAAAGTTTAATTTTTTTAAAATTAATTTGGGTTGGATCGGATGAAATCTTTTAAATGGTGAGGTCGGGTCAAGTCAGATTCGAATGAAGGGTGAAAAAATTTTGACTTGATCCGACTAGAGGATAATAATACAATTTCTTTTAAAAAATTATTTTTTTTATAATTAAATTCTTATTTTATATTAGATTGGGTCGGGCCGTATCGGATGTATACTCTAAAAATTCGAATTAAATCATAGTCAGATAGATAATGTGTACTTTTTTTTAGTCGAATCAAATAGAATGAAAAATAAAAAAATCAAATAAAATCAAATTTTTTTAAAAAAATTATTGAATTATATCGAGTTGACAAAAATCCCTTACTTTACTTACAGAACTTAAAAAGTATTTTTCATACAGAAAAACTCGTCCCTATCACTCAACACCTCCTTCGAATCCCTTTCCTTTGCCTTTCGTTTTTTCATTTGCAATAGTTTTAAACATAACTGTTTTTTTCCCATTATATTTTCCTCTTACTTTACTTTTCCTTTCTTTTATTGTTCTCTTTTATCCAATCAAACTTTCTGGTACTAAGTGCAGGCCGTCAGAGCTTGTTTTCCGAGTTTCATGAGATTTTTCCCTCTTCTGCCATTTTGCAGCGGAAGAAAACACCTCGAAGCTCTCCATTACTGGATTACGCCATTTGACGGAATTTAATTCAGAATTACCATCACTTCCGGCGATTTTCGTATAGATCTTCTCTGAGGTGCGACGGAGATTGATAATTTAATCGGAGATGGATATCGACGGTACGAGGGAAGGCGGACAACAGGAAGACGGACATGGCGGTCACGTCGGTAAAATCACGGACACTATATGGCGTCCTGTGGTGAAAACAACGGCAAGATCTTCAGCCGTATGCGTCGTCGTCGTCATCCTACTCGTCGGCGCGTTGATCTCCACGCACTTGCTCGACACCACTGTAAGTATCGAAGACTTTTATATAATTTCTAACTTCGTACGAACTTGACAAGTATTTCCATTTTTCTTCGAGAATCAAAAATTAATTAATTAATTAAAAACGTCATTCGAAGAAGCGTCGCGAATGCCGTAATTAAAGCAGAAAAACAAATTAATACTTCATTCGAGAAAAGTAGTCTCAATTATTTCGCGAGATTTTAAAACTTTATCAAATTAAATTAATTAAAAGAAAAATATTAAATTGACATAAATTATTTTATTTTTTAGTATTAACGTTAGTTGTTTTTATAAAAATTATTTTAAAAATAAATAAAATACAAATTTAGTAATATATTTAACTTATAAAAATATAAAAAATATGAAAAATTATAATATATAGTATTACCTTTTTATCAATTATTTTAGTTTAATATAAATAAAACTTTAAAAATTAGAAGTATTAAAAAATTAGGGTAAAATATAGAAATGATCTTCTAACCATTTTTGTAAAGTCTCTAATATTAAAAGTTATTAAATGAATATTTAATTATATAATATTATTTTGTTGAGTCTATCAATTATTAAAAGTTAGTAAATGATGGCTCGCCTAATTATGTTCTTAATTTATTTATTTTATTAAAAATTTAATGATATTCTAAGTTCTATGTTATTTTGTTGATTATAATATGATAAAATTTGATAATAAAATTTCAAACGATTATATTTAGACATTATATTAACGTTCATCTTATAAAACATATAATTTTTAATAAAAATAAATTTAAAATATAATAAATAGTTAGATGATCATTTTATAATTTTAATAATTAAGAGATTCAATAAAATAATATTTATAATTAAAAAATTATTTTATAATTTTTAATAACCGATAAATCTAATAAGTGATATCTAGATGATCTATGTACTTTACCCAACAAATTAATAGTTAAAACGAGTTTTAATAATTAAGCCTTTCATTATTTTCACTTGGCCGACTCTGTTGATGGGACCGCCATTTGAATTTTATTGGTGTCCTACTTTCTTTGATAAATCTTACCGTCATGTACCTAATTTTTCAAGCTTCTTTTTTGAGCTTGACCATTGGCATGTGGACAAATGTAGATTTACCCCCACACTTGTGTTTTAAACGGTCCATACTCCATAGCCACATAAATTTGGAAACGACTATATGATATATCAAAGTCTAACTATTATTTGGAGTTGAATATACGTCAATTATATGGACATGTATTATTTCATGTAGCCACAGCTGTAATTGCTTGTAGATTAAGTCCCCTAGTTGCATTCATAAATGTCCTAGAACTTCGTGTTATTTACTTGCTCTCATGATTTCACCCTAAGCTGCCGATGAACACGTGAATTTTTGGATTTTCACGTGATTAGGAATGATTTTGAGTGCATGGATTGCAAATTCCAATAGTCAAACGTTCTATTGTACGTTTAGCAAATGGCTTTATTTGCAAGTTCACTTCTAAATAATATCTCATTTAAAGTTATCTTTTATTACAAGTGGTACATAAAGTATCGTTTTTATTTATTTTAAAAAAAAAAAAATAACATGACTCAATCTAATTCAATTTATTTTTCAAGTAATATAAATTAAAAGGTAAAATACACAAATGATCCTTCAATTATAGAATATTGATTTATTAAGTTTTTTTATTATTAAAAGTTATAAAACGATTTTCCGATTATAGAATGTTGTTTTGTTAAGTCACTAGCTTTTAAAAGTTACTAAACGGTTACTTGACTATCAATATGTTTCAAGCTATCTTTTTTGTTAAAAAAAATTTTTCGTTATTTTTTTGTCCGTTAAGAAAACTATCAATATATTTGTTTTAGTTTGACGTTAATACGATGATTAATATATCATAGTCATTTGAGATTTTGATATCATATTTTATCATATTACAGTTAGTAGATTAACGTTTTTCTTAAAATATCATAATATTTTTAATGAAAAATGACGAATTTAGAACATAATTAACAATTGGGTGATCATTTTATAACTTTTAATAGTCGAAAAATATTTGTGTAATTTATGAAAATTTAAATTAAATTAAATCAAATACAAATCCCACACCCTACTTTCATTCTTTTATTTCTCCATCTCTTTTTCCGGTTCAATTTTAAGAAATCGGTTACCGTTGGCTTTTCAGACTTTCGTTGGCGGGTTAGCTCAGATATCTTCGCCAAGTTCAAAAACAAGAGCCGAAAGCCCCAAAGAGCCCCGCCAACAAATCGAAATCCCACTCAACTGCAGTGCATATGAGCTCACACGATCCTGCCCCAGACACTACCCGACGACTGCCGAATACGATGATCCGGACGGTAACGCAAACACCACGTGTCCAGAGTACTTCCGTTGGATCCATGAAGATCTACGGCCGTGGGCCTACACGGGGATCACACGGGACATGGTGGAGAGAGCAAGAGCTACGGCCAATTTCAGGTTGACCATCGTGAACGGGACGGCTTACGTGGAGAAATACCATAGGTCGTTCCAGACGAGGGATGTTTTTACGCTGTGGGGGATCCTACAGCTGTTACGGAAGTACCCGGGGAAAATTCCCGATCTGGACCTCATGTTTGATTGCGTTGACTGGCCGGTCATCAAATCCTTCGACTATGGTGGGCCCAATGCCACGACGCCACCTCCTTTGTTTCGTTACTGCAAGGATGATGAAACCCTCGATATCGTTTTCCCGGACTGGTCCTTCTGGGGATGGTTAGAATAACTAAACCCTTTTCTCTTTCCTTTTGGTTGTAGTAATTTTTAGGATAAATTACCCAAATGTTCTATTATTTTATTAGGTCTTTCAATTATTAAAAATTATAAAATGGTCATCTAACTACATAGAGTTACTTTATTGAGTTATCAGACTATCAAAAGTTATAAAATAGTCACCAGACTATTTATTATGTTATAAATTTGTCATTTTTCGTTAAAAAATTGACGGTTTCATTTGTTGGGCGTTAACATGATGACTGAGATGTGATAGTCATTTGAAATTATGAGATCAAATTTTATCATATCACAATCAACAAGTTAACGATCATCTCAATATAACTTCAATTTTTAATGAAAAAGACGAGTTTGAAACATAATGAACAGTCAGATTACCATTTTGTAACTTTCGATAGTCAAGATACTCAACAAAGTAACATTATATAGTTAGATGATCATTTTATAACTTTTAATAGTCGAGTGACTTAATAAAATAATACCCTATAACCGGGGATCATTTGCGTACTTTACCCTAATTTTTAATCGACATATTGCATTGAAGGCCCCGAAATATGCAGTTTAGGTGGATTTAATATTCCTACTAGAATTCAATCAGATTTAGTCCTCTTGTTCTCAAAACATGCATTCTAGTCCTAACAGTGACATTTTTTCCCTCAATTTTACCAAATGATTTGATGTTGTTTTTCCTGAACTTGTGATAGTGTGCTAAGTATACCTTAATAGTGTTTATATAGTTAAGAAAAATATTAGGTAAAATAAATTTGAAGTCATTGAATTATGTTCAAATAATCGTTTTGGTAATTGGACTTTCACAGGTTATAAAATAATCATTAAAATTTTTAAGTGGTTGCAAAATAATCATTAAATTCATCAAAATGGTACAACAATGACTATTCTTTAACCTTTAAAAGTTCAATTATCAAAATAATTTAAAAGCACGATGATTTCTAGTGGAATATGTGATTGAATCAGGCCTGAGATTAATATAAAGTCATGGGTGCCACTGTTAAATGACCTAATGGAAGGCAACGAGAGAATCAAATGGGACGAGAGGGAGCCGCATGCTTACTGGAAAGGGAATCCCGAGGTTGCCGAAACCAGACAAGATCTCCTCAAATGCAATGTCTCCGACACACAGGATTGGGGTGCTCGTGTCTATGCCCAGGTAAAGCCTAACCATCATCCTCTCTAAAATTCTAATACAATCTCTTCATTTTACCATTCACGAATCAAACTAACAAGGCATTTGCAGAACTGGATAATTGAATCGAATCAAGGCTACAAAGCATCAAACTTGGCAAACCAATGTGTCCACAGGTTTAATGATCAAGTCCCTTCACTTTTTTTTCTAAAAAAACAAATATTTAAAGGGTAATTAAACTAAGAGTAAATTGCATCATTACTCACCGAACTTAACTCTCTATCCTATTTTACTTACTGTGTTTTCAATTTTTCTAATTTACTCACTGAACTTTTAAATTACTCATGTTTTGATCACTCTGAATTATTTTGTTATTATTTTCGTATATTATATGATTTTTTATTATTTAAAATAAAAATAATTTAAAATATAAAATAAAAACAAAATGTGGACAGGCTGCCACCGGCCGCAGTAGATGGTGACCGTTCAATCCTAAATTTTAGCGGGTTGTTCTTCCTTGACTCTGTGAGTTCGAATTTGACCTTTATTTTGTTAGAACTTGCTCTGAAGTCCAGGAATTGGAGATCAAAGCTGAGGAAGCCGAAATATTTCAATCGAGAGTAACGAGTTTGGGTTATTTTCCGGTGAAACAACCTCAGATTCAGACTCAGGTGGTCAAAGTGAATCGGCCCATGAATTTTGGGACGCCACAATCTATGCGGTCGACGGTGGCATCCAACCACCTTGTGTTTTTATTTTATACTTTAAATTATTTTTATATTAAATAATAAAAAGGTCACATCATACAAAAATAATAATAAAATAATTCAAGTGATCAAAACAAGAGTAATTTAAAAATCATAAATAAATTAGAAAAACTAAAAGTGTGATGAGTAAAATATGAGAGAGGGTAAAGTTCAATGAGAAATGTTGTATTTTACCCTTAAATTATAAATATATGTTTATTATGTGATCTGAATGTACAATTATAATAGGTTTAAGATATACGTGGAAGGGTCGGCATGGTCGGTAAGTGAAAAGTACATCCTGGCTTGCAACTCTCCGACCTTGCTCGTAAAACCCCGGTACTTTGATTTCTTCACCAGAGGTTTGAAGCCATTGCACCATTACTGGCCCATTAAGTCCGATGATAAGTGCAGATCTATTAAGTATGCTGTCGACTGGGGCAACTCCCATCCGGAAGAGGTAAGCAGTCTTCTTGGGTTAATTTCTCTAGACATCCTCAAATTTATGATTAGATTCTAACTTGTTCTTGGACTTCATAATGTATTGATTGAGTTCTTGAAGTGTTAGCATCAGATTAATTAGGTCATTATATAAGCCTATTTGTCGGCTTGAATGTTAAATAACGTGGAATACAATCAAACACTTGGATTCAATTTTAAACATATTTATATTTAGGGTAAATTACATGTTTAGTTCTAAACTATCAGTTTTGGTCCGTTTAGTATCTAAACTTTCATTTTTTTCTAAACCATACCTAGTTTTGTTTTTGCTTCATTTAGTACCCACCGTCAAAAACTTAAAGCGTTTTGTACCTAAACTATCAGTTTTGGTCCGTTTTATCTAAACTTTCAATTTTTCTCAAAACTTAAATTTTGAATGGGTACTAAAATGAAATAAAACCTAAATTTTAGGTATGGTTTTGAAAAAAATTGAAAGTTTAGGTACTAAAACATACCAAAATTGATAGTTTATGTATTTATTACGTAATTTATCCTTATATTTTTAACATAATCAATAAATATGATATGCCTAGAAAAAATAGTCTTCCTAAATTAGGTAAAGTGACCCCTATAAAAAGTGAAGCAATTTTGTCATGGTCAATTTTGGAAGTGATTAATTAAGACTATTAATCGAATCTTTAATTTTTTAATCAATTTCACTTTTTTGATTGACATTTACACATTCTATAACTGTAGGGGTAAACAACAATGCAGTGATTAATTGTCCCCAATTGCTCAGACAATTAATATTTAAAGGGAATAATTTGTTCGAATTCAAATTGTAAGGGACCTAAGAGGTATTTTTATCAAGTTTATGGACCAATTTTGATTTTCCATTCCATTGTTTTGCTCAGGCCAAGGCCATTGGAAAAGCAGCAAGCGAGTTCATAAAGAAGGATCTAAAGATAGACTACGTGTATGATTACATGTTCCATCTCCTAAACGAGTACGGTAAACTGATGAGATACAAGCCGACCGTGCCCGTAAAAGCCGTCGAATTCTGCTCGGAATCAATGGCTTGTCTGGCCAATGGAAGAGAGAAGGACTACATGATAGAATCGTTGGTGAAGGGTCCCTCGGTCACGAGCCCATGCACGATGCCTCCACCGTACGATCCAGCATCGATTCATGCTCTGCTTAGCGAAAAGGAGAATTCGATCAAGCAAGTAGACGAATGGGAAAAGAAATTCTACGAAAACCGAAGGTAACCAAAGTGTCCATCACCTGGAAATTAGAAGTGGTTTCATGTGTTGTTTACACGAGCCATACGCAGAATGCATTGTTGTATCAAAGCATGAGTTGTTTTATTTTGTAACTTTTAAAGTTAAATGACCAAAAACTGATTAGAGTATAGTTTAGGGACCTCTAGCGTACTTTACCCCTTGTGCTTTATTTATGTACGGTGATCCTTCTGTACTAATCGTACCAGAAAAACAATGCCAATAAGACGAATGTGTAATAAGATTTTCTGGTTGTAATTATATAGCCAAGAAATAAGAAAGGTATCCATGGATATCTGAAGAACTCATTCTTCTTGTACATGCAGCATGTTCTATAGTTATCAGCTTTTAAATTACTCGGCCTTTGATAATGCCGAAGCTCATGTCGCTCGGATCGGTTGCCTGCAACTCGACTTGAATGCCATCCAATTCCCTCTTGAATCTGTCCTTGGAGCTAGCGTACACCATCTTGCTCCTCACCCTTGATGTATCGGGTGCCCTGCAGCCACTAGTGTTGAATGAATGCCCCAGAGATGTGTGCATAGATTTCCTTTTCCAAAACAAAAAGTGGGATTACCATGCAATGAAGAAGATTTTGCTTTTCTGGCAATTCTCGTCGGTGGTGAAATCGAAATCGAAGACAGCGTAGCAGCACTCGTCGGCGGGCAGAGACGCGGTGAACTACTCGTAGGTCGACGTAGGGTTCCCTACTTTATCCACCACCACTTGCTGCTCGTGAATCTTGAATATGATGTACCGGTAGTTCCTCCTCGCCTTTAACTCCAAGAATTTTAGCTTGCATTCGTCGTCGTCGACCGCCATCCCGGATGCCGCGTTCGCCTATTTCACATTTTAGTCCCCAACACATACACAAATGGAGCCAAAAACAACAACATGCATATTAATCCGCCGAACATGTAATGTCAATGTATCAAATATAAATTCAATTTACAAATTACGATGATCATCAAAATACGAGAAAGATGGAAAAAAGAGACCACACCATATTGTCGTTCGAGGAGAAAGAAGCCTTTGTGAGAAATGAGGAGTGAGAAGAATGAAAGAGAGAAGTGCAGTATCGGGTAGGATATTAACAAGCCCGTCTTAAAAGAAGTGGAGTCCCTGTGCTACTTTTTAGATTAAAGTTCTCAAAATTATAAATTTTTATAATAAGATGAAATGTGAAAATTTATAGTAAGAGATCCTTAATTCAGGGGATCAATTGTTGGCAGGCGAGCAAAATGTGAGGGTGAAGAGAACTTTGTGGGCTCTACCAATAGCTTCAGTGGCCCTGTTTGTATCTTGTGGCCTATTTTTAGTTTAAGTTTTGTCTCGAACTTCTCATGTTTCATTCGAAAAATAAGATGGTAAATTACTTGTTTAGTACTTAACTATCAGTTTTAGTTTATTTTAGTACTTAAACTTTTAATTTTTTCAAAACCATGCCTAAAGTTTAGTTTTTGATTCATTTAAGAACCCATTCAAAATTTAACGTTAATTTTTTTTTTTGAAATTTTATGTATTAAAACGACCAAAATTGATAGTTAAGATACTAAATATGCTAAGTTTTTAAGGGCGGGTACTAAAATGAAATGAAAACTAAAACAAATTAAAACCGATAGTTTAGGTACTAAATGCGTTATATTCCCTAAAAATTATTGTGATGAGAAGAAATATTGTATATTAAAAACGATTTTGTTTTTATTAATGTAGTTATATATTAGATAACAGCCTTTAAGATTAATAGACTTTTTTATATTTATATTATTAGATAGAGAAGGTAGAATCCATTTGAATAAGCAAAACCCTATAGAAAGAAGCATCTTATTGGATTGAACGCAACAAGCTCATGGCTCACAACATGCACGAATAAGATCACACCGGTCCATGCATGCACTTGAACCCGCCTTGAGAAATCACCCCTAGCTACTGCAACTCTCCTTTTATTTCAGACTACTGGTAAAAATTTTGTGAAATTTTCCATTCAATCAAGATTTTAGAATGGTGCATTTGCCGGAGGAAGTCCCTTGAACCTCACGCCGCCGCCGATGGGTCCTGGTGCGATCAAACCTGAGTCTTCGATCTCCGACATTCCTCTTCGCACGTTCCCTTGTCGTGCTTCGCATAGTTTCGGAAGAAAAACACCTGCCAAGAAAACGGAGAGTTAAATAAATTTGGTCAGGATCTATAGTGCAATTAACTCTGATATTTTCTACCTTCTCCTGCGGCGAGGTTGAAGAAAAGGTCGACGACGTTGGGACAGCCGTCGTAGCATTGAGGGGAGCAAAGCATTCCCGTGAAGCGAGACTCGATGAGCAGATCGGACGAGATGCCGAAGGAGTTCCGGTCGATGCCGCAGGCCTTAACACACTGGTCAGTTTCGATCCAGTTCCGGATCTTATCGGCTTCGATTTCGGATGTGCGGCAAGTGTATTCTTCTTCTCCGCTCCTCTTGACGTGCTTCTCCAGCACACAACGCTTGCCGGTCGATGCCACGGCGTAGGCGCATGTGTCTTGGTCAAGGTGTTCACATGTTATTTCCCCTGCAAACAAAAAGAAACTTAAAAATCATAAAACAATGCCGATTATAACGTGATTAGGGAGCATGAAATGACGTGATAATAAACCTAGGGTGGCTTGCAAATTGAAGGCGAACAATGCAAAAGCAAGAACAGCCAAAGTCTTGGAAGCCATGGGGAATGTAATGGACCGACAAAGGCTAAGGTTCTGCAACTATGTTGGGGAATTGGTGTGAATATTGATGGGGTGGGGAATGACTCTTTTATAGTAGTTGGTTTCGGTTTTCGCAATGGTGGGGACTTGAAAATTCAACAAAACGACACTAATGAATTTCGTGTTAGAAAATGACACGTAGACTAGTTTACATTAGTGATGAGAAATTATTTCATGATTTAACTCCGTCACCTATGGTCTCTCAACGTGGCCTTTAATTCAAGATAGATAAATAAATAATAACAATATTAACATTGGACCGTGAGACACGTAAAGGAGCGGGAAGACTACGGTAGCTGAGGTATATGCCTCTATGAGTCAATTGACGCCGTGATCAGTGGCTAAGGTATTAAAATCGCAGTCAAAATTTCCCCATAGGGTCAAAGTTGGAAAACATCCGTTATTTAATCTTTTCTAAATCTGGACCGTCTGCAAATCAATGGCCTCGTGATAAAAGAAATTGTTATTGTTCTTTAAGGTTTTGAGTCCGAAATGAATACTTGAAGTGTGACCTTCTAACGTGAAATAGTTAAAAGTTATATTTAAACATATATCATCTTATATTTACACCCCAAATTAAAAAAAAGTTTAGACCATTAATAAATTCAACATGTTTCATTCAAACATCGAACTTTGCCTACCTCTCTAAATTCGCTTTTATCGATTAATTTAAAGGTAAAGTACACAAATGATCATCTGATTATAGGGTATTGTTCTATTAAATCTATTGAATATTAAAAGTTATAAAATGATCCTTTGACTATAGAATGTTGTTTTATTAAATCTCGACTATAGAATGTTGTTTTATTAAATTCCTCGACTATTGAAAGTTACAAATTAATCACCCGACTATTCATTATGTTTCAAACGCTTCCATTTCCATTAAAAATTTGACGATGGTCTGAGTTGACGTTAATATGATGACTGATATGATAGTCGTTTGAGATTATGGATTAGATTTTTTCATGACACAGTTAGAAGATTAACGTTTAACTCAGAATACCTTCAGATTTTAACGGAAAATGACAAGTTTGGAATATAATGAATAGTCGGATGACTATTTTATAACTTCTAATAGTCGAGGGACTCGATAAAGTAACATTATATAGTCAGAGGACTATTCTATAACTTTTAATAGTTGAGAGATTTAATAAAGTATATCTTATAATCGAGGGACCATTGTGTATTTTACACTTAATTTAATTTTGATGACTATTTACCCTTACTAATGAGAAGTTTATGAGGACTGAAGAGTGGCTGCTGACTTTATTTCCAAGATAAGTACTTTGGTTTTAAGACAGCGTCATTTACGGGACAGTCTTTAGATCCGATTTCTCAGTTCATTTTTGACAAAAACACGAACAAAAGTTAGGTCCTAAACTTTTGGACCTTCTATTAGACTTACAAGAATAGCAATAGATTGGAGGTGTACATGCGTGATATTATTTTTTTTAAGGGTAAAGAATGTAATTGGTCATCGATTATAGGATACTGTTTTATTAAGTTCATCGACTATTAAAGTTATAAATAGTCTTTTGATTATAGAGTATTGCTTTATTGAGTCTCTCAATTATTAAAAGTTACAAAATAGTCACATGACTATTTATTATTTTCCAAACTCATTTTTTCCGTTAAAAAATAGATAATATTATGAGTTGAACGTTAACTTGCTCACTGTGATACGATAACATTTAATCTCAAAATCTTAAACGACTATCATATCATAGTCACCATGTTAACATTCAGCTTAAACAACCACTACTTTTTTAACGGAAAATGACGAGTCTGGAACATATAAATAGTCGAGCGACGTTTTATAACTTTTAATAATCGAACGACTTAACAAAATAACATTTCATAGTCGAATGACTATTTTGTAACTCTTAACATTTGTGTTCCTTCTATTAGTTGGGCTAATAATAGAGCTGAATAGTAATTGAATTGAAACCATCTTATTGGGTCAAGGGAAGGCCCTATAACTTCATAGTTTTGATAATACTACTCGAACCATCTATATTCTCTCTAAACCCTTAGACAAAAATAATTATGTTTAAATATAATACATTATCCTGAGATATCGGGTTCGAACATATACGTCTATAATGTACGTGTATAGTCAATGATTAAGAAATATTCTGGACAAATATTACATTGTAATCACTATAGAGTATTCAAAAATATGTTATTATAAATACCGTTTGTCATTAAAAATGAAATAGAGACCTAATTTGACTTTATATAATAATATTTTTAACCCCTGAAATTCATATAATCTATAATTTACTCTCATTCAATATAATTCTATAATTTTAAGAATTCATATTCAAAACAATTAAGGTAAAGGTAATATTATTCATTTCAGATGATTTTAGATTATTTAAGTTTAAATAATTTTGCATGAATTAAATTACTTCAACGGTTAAAGGAACGATTGTTATTGGTTCCAAATTTAAGTACCAAAGACTGCAGGATATTTGAGCGTTCAATGTCAAATAATTGAGAGTTTTGAGAACATATATTACTACTTGTAAGCACTTAGATTAATAAAAAAATAATTTATAATTTTATTTATAAATATGTATGAATTTATTCATATTTAAAATTTGATTTAATATTATTTTATAATTATGTTATAATCTTTAAAAAAAGGCTTAAGACCCGAACCTTTGCCCCTGTAGTAGGTTCAATTTATCATTTTCACTCCTATCGTAATTTTACATCAATTTAACCCTTAAAGTTATTTAATTGCATCCTTTTATACCCTATCCCTTAAAACCTAAATTATAAATCCTAAGTATATACATGAAAACAAACCAGAAACACCACAATCTGACAATCACAAGGCCATGGAAGAGAACTTCGATGGTTGTCGGACGGTGAAGCATAAACCAAAAACCATAACACAAGTGATGTTTTGTTCCATGAAGATAACACTAGTTTCCATCGGCAGACAAGAACTGGTAACTGCTAGAGTATGTCCAGGCAGAGGTAGCACGTACCTTATGAGCGATATGAATTTAGAGCTACCGATGGAAAATTCCGAAGGGATCGCATGATCCAATGACCGAACCGAATATAATCACCCGATCATCATCGATTCATTTACTTAGAGGAAGCCATCAACATTAGATCAATGCGATCCCTTTGGAGCTCTCCACCTGCACTAAGAATAGAGGCTTCTCTCATGGGGTTTTCATTCTTTCTTTGGTTACTTTTTATAGAGGAAGAACACACGGGGGGGGGGTTAGCTCTTTGCTTTTCGCCCACTGTTACGCAACCATCGGCATCACATGCACACGAAATTGGGCGTTGATAGACGATGGCAACCGGCAAGCTCGGTATGGCTTAGAATATAACCTTTTTGTTTCTTTGGTGAAATTCTCCATGTACCTCTCCATATTTATTCGTTTTAAACAAAGGAATTAATCATTGTTATTTTCTATAATATTGTTGGGTAAATTACGAGTTTAGTATTTAAACTATCGTTTTGGTCTGTTTTAGTACCTAAACTTTCATTTGTTTTCAAAATTATACCTAATGTTTAGTTTTTATTTCATTTCAATACCCTCCGTTTAAAACTTAATGAGTTTAGTACCTAAACTATCAGTTTTGACCCGCTTTAGTACCTAAAATATCATTTTATTTTTAACGTGACTGCAAGGGTGATTGAACGTTCATTGTCAAATAATTGAGAGTACTTTAGACCAAATACTATGTTATAATTTTCTTTGCGTTCTTTGCTCTTTGATGTTTTCGTCAATTTTCTTCTCTTGAAAAAAAAAATTGATCGAATTTTATTATTTTATACCAATGTAAAAATCCGAAAATATATTTCACTCATAATATATAATAAAAAAATTGATTATTTTACCCCAACATCAACTTCACTCTACCTTTACTAAACTGGTTGCACGTGCACCAAAAAAGCTAACGTGGAAAGGAGAGAGTTAAGTCAGGGTGCGCTTACAAGGGAGGTGATGTGCTTACTTTCCAACCCACGAGGGTTTTCCTGCCCAATCTTGCAAGACACCAACTTTTCAAACTACTACTTGATATTAAGGGCGTGTAAAACTCTATTCGACTCGAAAAATTAATTCTTTTCAACTAGGTTTGATTTGAAAATATTCGATTCAAATTGATTTCGCGTTGGAATTTCATAAACTTGACTCCATTTGAAAAAAATTCAAATTAAAATCGAGTTGTATTTTACAGCTCGAAATTTTTAATAATTAGTAGATTGATTTTCAAGTTTGAGTCGAGTCATTATACTTTATAGGGTATATGTAAATCACGTATGAAAAAAATACGAAAAAAATATATGTATTGTATATGATTATAGAATATCATTTAAGTTAGAATCAAATAATATTATAATATTGTAAATATTTATAATTAAATTTAAATAGAAATTCCAAAATTTGACTTGACTCGAACCTAATTTTATAAATTCGACTCGTAAAAATTGCAATTCAAATCTGAGTTATAAAATATGACTCGTCAACTCAAATAATTCGAAATTTTTTTACTCAACTCGATCAAACGTTCACCCTATTTGTTGTTAAAATTAACCATTTCTATATTTCAATTATTATAATTAATTAAATTCTTAATTTATATATTCGATTTGTCTTATAGATTAATAAAATCTTAGATTGAACAAACTCAAGGCAATGTTGTTCACCCCTACGTGTTAGTACTAAAACTATCAGTCTTGATCTGTTTCAGTACCTAAACTTTAAATTTTTTTTAAAATCATACTTATCGTTTAGTTTTGTTTCATTTTAGTACCACGCAGTTAAAAACTTAACGGACAAGCTGACGGGGCATAGCTCTGGTGGACAGACAACCAATCCGAACGGTGGACCACAAGAGAATGACGAGTTAACGAACATAGTATTGTTTCAGTCCCATAAGACGGTTGACAATGGAGATCGAAGATGAATAAGTCGAATAGTACATCGTCGATTTGGAGAGATTGAAACATTTTCCGGTAAAGTGAAGACTAAATCACGTTCAAGTGGTTGAAAAGGTGCGTGATGGAAAATTTAGTCTTCACCGGCACGGATGCGACGGCCGGCGGGCTCTCCGTTAAGTTTCTAAGAGCAGTTATTAAAATAAAATAAGAACTAAACGTTTTTAAAAAATTAAAAATTTAAGTACTAAAATATATCAAACCGATACTTTATATACTAAATATGTAATTTTTTTAAAAATTACCATAATATACATTGATTGAAGAGTGAGCATTAAAGCAGAGTTGTTCTAAATCTAGGCATACAAACTACACTAGGACAGGTAAGGGTGGATTGGCTAAATTTTTCTAAAGGTGAGCACATAGAAATTGCATATCACATAGGCAGTTAAATCACGACACGTGATCTGGTTAAAAAGCCAGACAGAGCAAGGGGCATGACAAGAAATACTCGAGGACAGACAAGATAGAAGAGATTGAATAAGGTTTTATAATTAATGTTGGTAAGAGTACCAATCAAACAGCTATTGTTGTTGGGAAGAAACTGAGCACCAGGTCCACTTTCAGAAAATGACCTAGTCCCATTAATTTTTTTTTTCTTGGATAAACTACGTATTTAGTACTTAAATTATTGATTTTAGTTCATTTTAGTATTTAATTTTTTTTCGAAATCATACTTGACGTTTATTTTTAAAAACTTAATGTTTAGTATATGACTATCAATTTTTATCCGTTTTAGTACCCAAAATTTCAATTTTTTTCAAAACTTGACGTTGAAATTTGAACGAGGGTACTAAAATGAAACAAAAAATAATGTTTTTAATGTCGGGTACTAAAATAAAATAAAAACTGAACTTTAGGTATATTTTGAGAAAAACTAAAAAATTAAGTACTAAAATATATCAAAATTGATACTTTAGATACTAAATGCGTAACTTACTCTCTTTTTCTTTTCTATTTTCTTATTCATTGCTCTCTTTATCCAAGTGTGTAATGCAATTCTGAATGGCCTATTTGTTGATTGAAATTAAATATCTATGAAGAGGGAGATTATCCCAAATTAAGATTAGGTTATGTTATCCATTTTATATAAAGTTTTTCAATAAAAAAATAAAAAGATTATTTAAGATCAATTCGAGGTTTAATATCAATTAAAGATTAATTTATCTCTTTTTATTATGTGATCATTTATATTTATCGTTAACGCCTTGTATAATATAACAAATGATATTTAGTAAAAAGAAAGTTTAAATTATAATATTTATTAAAACTCTAACAAATATTATAATATTTATTAGGTAAAAGGGTAATTTTTGCCCTCGAAATAGACTCAATTTATTCTTTTGACCCCTATCGTATTTTCACATTAATTTAACCTTCAAAGTTGCTCAATTGTATCATTCTATACCATACCCTAAACCTTAAACCATAAACCCTAAATCTTAAATCTAACTTAAGATTTACAATTTAGGGTTTTAAGTTAGGTTAATTCGATTGGTTAATTCAGTTAAAATCGAAGTTTAAACACCCCTAAAACTAAATATTATATATAATATATTAAATATTTAATAATTTTAATTAATTCAGTAATTTAACTGATTTCGAATCGAATTAACCGAAACCGAAGTTTAAAAACACTATTAACCGTTAACTGACCAGACCCAAAATTAACCTATCAATTAACCAATCAAAATTTCAATTTTAACTGAATTATAAACACTCCCGCGAGTATTATACATTATAATTAAGGATATTTAATAAAACATATCCTTTCAAATACCCAATAACAATAAAATGAAAGACTAAAAAGAAGAAGAAGATAACATATGTTGCGATATAATTTTAAAAGACAAAAGATGTGATATTATAATACTATGAGTTAATTATAGCATACGTATTTAAATTATGGTTTTTCGTTTTAAATTAGTCCTTAAACTTCTAAATATTTTAATTTCATCGTTAAATCATGACTACATTCTAAATTACTCCTCAAACTTTTGAATATTTTAGTTTCATCCCCAAACTATATACTTCATTCTAAATTGATGTCCAAACATTTTCAACATTCAATTTTATCCCAAATTATATGTATATACCAATCGCATTCCATATTAATAAAATCGTTAAGTCAAGTTATGTTATTATATGTTTGAAAAAATAAAGTTTAAGCTAAATTATGGACGTAATTAATTACATATTTGGAATGAAGTTAGAAGGTTCAAAAGCTCAATAACTAATTTAGAATGAGTATCATAATTTGAGTATGAAATTAGAATATTCAAAAGTTTAAGGATGAATTTAGAATGAATATCATAGTTTGGGGACGTATGACACAATTAACTTTAATACTATATATATATATTCTTAAAGATAAAAGATGTGATATTATAATACTATGCATGAATCAAGTTATCTCAGTAGTTAAGAGAAGATTATTATTTCTAAAGTGTCGGGTTTGAGCATCAACGACTATAGAGTATTTGAGTGATCAGTGTCTAATGATTGAGAATCTTTATAATAATACTATCACTTACAATCACTCTTATATTAATAATAAAAAAAAAAACAAGAGAGACAAGTGAAGGGTGAAATTATGGATGGTAACTAGTCGGGTTAGGGTCAGGTTTTTGGTTAACCCGACCCAAAAAAATATACATCTTTCACTCGATTCTGACTTGATCCGATTTTTAAGTTTATAAATTCGACCCGACCCGACCTGGTATAAATTAAGGATTTAATTAAAAAATATTTTTTTTAAAGAAATTACATTATTATCATCGGGTCAGGTCGGAGTTTTCCACATTTTACCTGAATTCGACCCGACTCGACTTCACCCCTTAAAAAGTCTGACCAAAACACAATTTTTTTATATAAAAAAATCCGACCCAATCGAGTCAGATTGGATCAGGTCGAAACCCGTCATATGATGATGAAATTGCCATCCCTAGGTGAAATTTATTTAGGTCAACAAAGAAGAATCCGAGACGAACACAAAATGAGAGTTGCTTGCAGCATGCGGCGGAAGTGACGGTGGTGCTGAGGTCAAAGACGCAAAGGTACAACCAAAGCCGATATTAGAGGCAACGTGAGGCTCGCCACTGGCACATGTCCCCGCAGGATCTCCCGGTGATACACTTACATCGCTGTGTTCCCCCGATCTTTTACCTGTGGGGTCTCCCCATCTGATATGACTAATAAAACTTTATTATTATTATCATCATCACTTTTCGCATTATAATAAGGATCTGGTTTCATCACCGCTGCGAGAAGGAAGAGAAATCAAGAACAAGTTAGCTAGACTTGTCAATGCTGAAATATTTAACGTCAATTTTCTTGGTCAAATTCAGCTATTACCCCCTTTAGTATTTATAAGTTTATAGATTTATTTTTTTTAAATTTAAAATCTATGTTATTCCATATAGGGTAAACTACGCATTTAGTTCCTAAACTATCAATTTTGATCTCTTTTAATATTTAAACTTTTAATTTTTTAAAAATTATACCTAACATTTAGTTTTTTTATTCTAGTATCCCAACTTTAAAAATTTAATGTATTTAGTACCTAAACTATCAATTTTGGTATGTTTTAGTGCCTAAACTTTCAAAAAAGTTAAAACTTAATGTTAAATTTTGAACATAAATACTAAAATGAAACAAAAATCAAACTTTAGGTATGATGAATTTTTTTGAAAGTTTAGATACTAAAACGGATCAAAACTGATAGTTTAAATACTAAATGAGTAGTTTACCCTTCCTTATATTACGCGTAAGTCATGCATTTTGTTTATGTTCCTTAATTTAATCATATTTATTAATGTTTAGGGTTTGGATACTAATAGTTTAAACGGAGCAAGTTAGATTAAGAGGGTTAAATATCAGTAAAGTTAAATTCTTTAAACAACGTTCATAGTTTGAATTTTAGTATCATGAACGATACAAACTAGATTGAAAGGATCACTATTATCATGAATTGATATAATGAATTAATCGACTATTAAACCAGATATATATGATTATAAAATAGGTATGGGGCATAAGAATCAGTCTTTATCTAGATTGAGAAAGATCGTATCTCAACTGTTTATATATTTGTATGATTGGTGTCGTATGTGTGTAGGTAAGAGTTGTTAAAGTGTTGTTGAAACAGAATGATAAATCCAAAGGCTAAACATATAGGATGCCATTCCTAGCATACCTCACCAAAATATATGAGAAAAAGAAACAGGAAAAGAGGGGTTTTGAGTGTGTAGTTAGTATTAGGGTTTAGGGTTTAATGAAAATGGGAAGGCGAGTTAACATAAGAGTGGGAGAAGGGGCTTTGGAAGTATCGTAAAGAGGAGGAAAGGATCCAAATGCCCTTAAAGGTGCTGTAAAAAAAAGCTTAAGAGCTGTGCCATTGAGAATAATGAAAAATCCATGAAAGCGATCAAAGATTTTTTGTCAGGTTATTTCCTTGTCTGTATAAGATGCAAGAGACCAAACGACGGTAAAGAAATTATTATTATTCTTTGATGTCTCAAGTTCTAGCATCAGGAGTGTCAGGAGTGTGAGCGTTCAATATCAAATGTATGAGAGTTATCTTTGAATAAATATTATCTTGTATTTACCTCAGAATAATAAAAAAATATAGATAGATATGTATTTCGTGATGATAGAATATAGATGAGAATAAAAATTAGATGTGTTGTGGATGGTGAGATATGTGTGAGTATTGAATTTACGATAATGAACGAAGGAAAGTAAAATAATAATCTTATTGAAAAATTATTACAGTTCATTACTTCTGCAAATAGAAAGTAATTTTCAATTACAATTACTGTTCAAGGACCGTAACTTACACAGCCTTCTGTATAATTCTTCAATTACCGTGAATGAAAACCAATTGGTTTTATCGATTGTTCAATATGGTAAGAATAACGGTTGTTAGAACCGGACCAGAACGACCGATCGAGTTTAAAACCGATGATCCAGCTGATTGAACTGGTGGTGTAACCTAAAATCATGTGAACCGTTAAAAAACCAAAATTCAAGGTAATAATTTTTTTAATCTTTTATTTCATTTTTATCAAACCGATGGTTCAACCGATCAAACTAAAAATTAGTGGTCTGACCGGTTCAACCACCGGTCCGGTTTTTACATCTGTATACGGGATAATTTGTCGCAGGTAAAGAAAGAATCATCTATCTGAGTGAAACCTGCAAATGGATTTCAATGGAGATGACTGTGTTATTTCCACCAAACAGAAGGCCCTGTTAACAAGATCGAAGTGGGTGTAGGGAGACATTACCTGTTGTGAGGGTATAAGGTTGTGGCATGTCTTGTCGCATGGATAGGGGCAATCAATCTCTTTGGTTATTTTTCTACCGAAGTACCAATCTCCAACTGCTTCTGCAATGGTCTGTAATGGCATTTTCAAGTTTTTTGTTACCCGTGGGAGTATCGGATATGAATTTGTTCTGATGTTTACTTACCATATCCATGTTCGAATTTGTGTCCGAATCCGATCTTATTCGAATAATTTTTAAAAAAAAACAAGTCCAAGACACATGCATTAAGAAAAATAAATGACTTACCTTGTTGTGTATTCTTGGAGAATCAGCTGCATACCATGTGTCCTGTGACTCACTTTGACAATGAGCAAAGCATGAATTTATAAGTATTCCTCCTCTTCCTGAATTTCTGAAGAATGAGTAAAGCGCTGAAAGCATATCTCGCCTCAATCCTGGTGAAAGATTTAGATTTTAATATCAGTTTATATCATCAAAGAATAATTAGTCTATAAGATTTAGTGTAAAGTACACAAATGGTCCCCGATTATAGTGTAGTGCTTTATTCAGTTCCTTGACTATTAAAAGTTACAAAATGATCCTCTGACTATAGAGTGTTGCTTTGTTGAGTCTCTCGACTATTAAAAGCTTTAAAATGATCACCCGATTATTTATTATGTTCTAAACTCGTCCTTTTATGTTAAAAAAAATTGATAGTATTATGAGTTGAATGTTAACTTGCTGACTGTGATATGATAAAATCTAATCACATAATCTCAAACGACTATCATATGTCAATCATCATGTTAATGTTCAGCTTAAATAACTGTCAATTTTTTAACGGAAAAGGATGAGTTTGGAACATAATGAATCGTCGGGTGACCATTTTATAACTTTTAATTATCGAGTGACTTAATAAAGCAACATTCTATAGTCAGAAGATCGTTTTGTACCTTTTAATAGTTGAGTAACTTAATAAAATAATACCTTATAGTCGAGGGACCATTTGTCTACTTTACAGTAGGATTTATGCATACACACATATATATGAATTTGTCAGAAATTCAACAAACATGAGAGCAACGAAGGCCAACCTTGCAATACATTAATCTGGGTTGCATTGCATGCTGCCGGATTAAGCTTGCAACGATTCCAGTGCCCGTGCGGATCGGCAGAAGGCGGAACCAAACTATGATGAAACTGTTGGGGCAGAAACACTGTGATTATATCGACTGTGCTAGAACATTGACTCGACGGGGAATAGTGTTGAGTTTATAAACAAAAAGAGCAAGGAAATGTACCTGGTATACATCATAAGCCGAGTTCAAGATAAAATAGGGCGTTGTGATATACTTCAATGCATACTGGGGAAAGAAACACTGCGGAAAGGGAAGTTAAATACCTTGCGCTGCAAGCAAAAAGCACATCATTCTTTTATTGATAAGTGCATTGCCGAGTTCATACCAGCTTCGGATCGTTGATCGATGCCATGCAATTTGGATTTAGATTTTTCTCTATCCCCTGTCATGTCCATTTGGTTGGTGTGAATAGTTTCAGGACTAAAACAGGGTTTAAATAGGTACATTCCATGACACTAGAGATATGGATGTAAAAGCAGACCAAAATTTAAGGCAGTGATAAAAAAATAAGTACCTGTAAAGTGATTAGATCATGATAGAAGGACCTCATGGTCAAATTCAAACTTATGTCTCGTCTGCAAATTGAAAATCAAAGGATGTAACACCCGGAAACAGAAGCTTGTCAGGTGCAGAGAACTAGACAATGAAACTTACTCATCCAGGAAAAATCCAGCATCACTTAAACATTTCACACTGGCATTGCTTGGTAACATCTTTGTGAAGTTGTCACAGTGCAGAAAGGTTGCTAGACCCCCAGCAGAGCAACCTGAAAGCAATGCCTAAAGCAGAGAAAAAGCAAATGAAGTAGAGCTGAAGTTCAAATATTACCACTGAACACTGCATGTCATATTTACATGGGAATTTTTTCTTGCATATAATAAGTACGTAATTTTGAATACCAAAATACATGATTAATATCAAACCTCAAAAGTACGAAGCTATATTAGAAAATTTGACTAATGTGATCTTACCTTGCGTGCACTTGACAACCCTTTGGGCAGAAGATCATGGATGATTGCTTCAAAAATTTTCTGCCCTCTGAAATAAAGTAATGACGTCTGTTCATTTCAGAAGCATATATAGGGAAAGGAATTAGTAAAGGAGGCAATTCTATGGTCTTTAACAAGCGCTCAAATGTGTAAGAGCCTTCTTTATAGATAAGGACATTTGGGTTTTGCTTGTTATGAAGGATGGAAATGAGGAAAGATAAAAAAATTATTTATCATATGATCATAAATTTTAACTATTTGATTAACAAATTTTCCAAGTCCTACCAGTAATTCACTGTTCATGATTTTTAAGTTTCAGAACGTAGAGTTATAAATATGATTTTAAAAAACAAAAAGATACACCGCAAGGCATAGAGCTAATATGAGAAATTACCCCGTTGTAAAACTTACTATCTCCAGAAAATGAGGCTCCATCACAGTATCTCAGCTTCACACGGTTCCAGTTGTAAAAATCTGGGTGTAAGAATTTAATGATTACTCCAGAACCAATGAAGAAAAGAAATGTTTTTATAAAATCTCTAGATTTCAAGTGCTTGATATGAACTACAAACACAACTCTTTAGCAAACCGTTTTATTCTTCTTTCAGTGAACATTTGCATAAGATATAGTATAATCACTCTCTTTAATGCCATGTAGACATTCTCTTATATAGCACAATCTAACCGATTGTCATGAGCATTTGGTTCTGTATCATGTTTCGCTACAACTTGATGCAGAGTTATCAAGGCGTGCCGAAGAGCACTGCACCTAATGACTTTGTGCAAGACAACATAAGAGAATTAAGCATAATGACCTATAAAAAATGTATATTTTATAAATAAACCAGACCACTGTTAGAACTTAATTATATATATTTTAAGCTTATTACATACATACATATAAGGCCACATGCATACTGAAATTTACTTCACCTGGGTGAACACTTTTTGTACACCTTACACCTAAAGCAATATAAGATTTCTACAGCTTGGAGTGCATCTTGCACCCGTGATAACACTACTTTGTTGAACCCACATTGGTCAACGAGAAAATAATTGAAGTTTGTCTTTTGCGTCCTTTGCTTTCAAAAACTAAGGACATGTGCACAGGCAAGAAGCAACAGCTGCTCCTTCCCATGTTCCACAATAATCTTGTAGTTGCCAGCTGGAGCAAAATTATGTAAAGTTGTAAACATATGGTGCGTATGTCAAAATGAAGAGAGAAAAGACTCGGAAACCTAACCAAACCCTTCAACTATTGATCTAAAAAAAAACAAACCCTTCTACCCACCGACGTTTTGATGGTTGGTCAAAATTTAGGAATCAGGACGTTGAAAACAGTCCTCTAATGGGATCAACATGCAAGGTGATAAATGTAATTAAGAATGAACCAAGACAGCAAGTCCAGAAACAATGAAACGAATTAGCCTGGCAGAGAACTATGCTGAACCACCCAGAATCGAATACTTTTAAAATTAAAATATACTGTCATTCAATTATGTGTTTAATAATAAATTGTTATACTTTTAAAAAAATTGTAAAAATGTCATTCAATTAAAATATTCTTATACATAATTTTAGTCTTTAAAATTTATATTCTATCAATTTGATCCTAATTCAAAATAATTCAATAAATTTAACTTTTCATATTTAAAATTTTCAATAGTTTTATTCTTTGTTCTTTTAGATTGTTTGTTTTTCTGTTAGAGATGTTATATTAGTTTCCGAATACTTTTTTGATATAATAATAATCTAACATTAATTTATTGTTATTTTATGGTAGAATGCAATTATCCAATTATTGCTTTGATTTGATCATTTGATGAGCTTGTTTAGTTTGAGTGTATCACAAAAAAAGAATAAATTGATATAATTTTTAAATATAAAATTTATCAAAATAAATGAAATTTGGATAAAACATATAAAATTTGAGGACTGGAAATATTATTATCCCATCATTGACTTTTTTCTAAAAAAAATTTAACTTTAACTCATTATTATTTAAATTTATTATTAATAAAATGTAAAAAATATATATTTTAAAAATATTCAATCAAGTAATTTTGAAATATATATTTTATAAAATTTTAAATTTTAAAATATTTAAAATAATCATGGTCAAAGTTTATTTTTTTTTACTTTTAGAAAATCAATAAAGGACAAATTTAATGGGAGGAAGGTAGTATTATAATTAAAATGTTTGTTTAAAACTTTAAAAATATGTTTTTCACTAATCATATAATTAAGTGGTCTAAAATATATTTTATCCATTAAAATAAATCTGAAGGGACCAGGTGCTGCTTAGCCGCAACCTATAAACTAATCAAAAGGATAACATAGATGTCTGCATGATTACCGGGAAATGGATTACCCTTTCTCAAACAAAGGTGTAGTATACTAGATTCCGGTTCAAGCCAGTGCTATTATGATTGGTCGAGGAAAATGGGGTCCGACTCCATTCATTATTTTTGAGTTAATAATTTCAATATATCTATAAGTATATGTTTTTTCTAATTTATGACTAAAGGCTTTTTCTAACAGAAAAAATAAGGGATGCATATTTAAAAATGTAAAGGATAATATCAAAATGATGTCAATGCAGATATTGACGCGTTGATACCAATAGAACCAACTTGCACCTTCCCTTTGTCTTTTTCTTTGATACATCTGGACTGAGTATGAGAGAATACCAAGACAACGTAAAGCTAAAATATTCACCCCTAATCAATCATATGTAGGGATAAATATAAGATTTGGATCTAATAGGTATTGAATTCGATCTAATTTTATAAGACCAATCTTTTTATTTTGAAAATTCAGATTAACATCAAATTAGGTTTGGCTTTTGAAAGATAATATCATATTATATTTAAAATTAGGGTGAAAAATTTTAACTGACTTGAAATAATAATATAATTATTTATTAGAGATAGTTATAATAATATCTCTTTATCAAAATCTTTTAAACTAAACTTCTATATTATCAGATAAAAATAATAATTATATATATATATATGGTCCTATGTGAAATTAAACCTAAAAAACAAGTCGAGTTTTAAATCAAAATGAAATTCTCTAAATTCAGATCAAAATTTTAGTCAAAATATATATTTTTCTTCCGGCAAAGTGAACCGAAAGATAATTTATACCCATCCTTAATCTTATTTTCCAGTAGCTTAAATATGGTGTCACATACTGAACCCATACATTTTCGTATCCATTCTGGAGTCTGATTGGTTTAGAATCATGCACTCCATATCAAAGTTTCCATTTAAAAAATAATAATAATATGTATCACATTCACGTCATGCAGTAAATAGACCCAGAGTTAACTAATATGGAATTGAGAAATAAGATGTGAAGTGAACCTGGATTGAAGGAGACATTGTTGCTTAAGATGCCAGAGAAGACTTCCAACTTGCTCATGTAACGAGTTGATCCACGGCGCGTTTCGGCTCTCTCCAAGCAAGACAATACGTCATTACACCAACCACCACCCTGATAAACAGATTACAGTATAAATGGAATAGAATTTAAGAATCAGAATAATTAATAATCTCAAAAACATTGGATCCTACTGATCTACTGGAACTAACAAGGTGTACATCTCGTTAATCTTGTGAACATTGTCCTTCCTTAGGCTCAACGCTTGAGCCTTTTCAATAGACTTTTTATCCTTTTATTGCATGAAACTTTAATTTGTTTTATGGGACCATAAAACAGCTTCTTTTACACAAATTTGTGGACAGAATATTTTAGTTTAAAATTTCAAAACTGAAATAAATTATATTTAGTTTATGATTTATTAATGAAATGGACTCACACAACGTTTTCCTCTCACACTTTTCATGAAATCTAAGCCATAACATAAAGACAAACACATATGACCATTCATTTAAAGACAAACGCTTTATTTAATCCCACCTGCATGCAATTCATACACTTACAGGAACATATATATTATTCAGATTGAAAGGGAAGAGACAATAAAACTACACATAAGAAGAAATAAACGTCAACCTCTTAATTCACCAGATCTAGAGGCTGAATTGTTTATTACTATATTTTTACTCCTTTTTGGTAGTCTCCAATTGAATGATTTTTACCATCTGACAAATTTGACCTATAGCTGGCTTCCACTCAGCCGTTTTCACTGGTGGTTCACGCTAGCCTAAAAACTAAGTAAATGATAAAGGAAAAAACAAAAAAGTGAAATGCACGAGACCCCAGGTTTCAAAAACAGTGACAAACAATTCGGTATCAGTTTTTCCAACGCATCAAAACTAATCTAATCATCTCGAGTCTTCACGCTAATTCTCACCAGAATACAATTTTGGCTTAAGTGCCGTCTTTACGTAGTTTTGCCATTAAAGAATTTAAATTAAGGTGGTCACATGAACTAATCAAATAACATATACGATGCGATTACAGTTTAAATCTATCATATTATTTTAACAAATACAAGTTAATTATGCCCGTAAGGACGAACTCATTGATTACCTCAAACTGTAGAATCCAGTTGTTTGCTCCAGCGCCAAATCCTCTGTGCAAATGATACGCCGGCAAACTTCCATCCAAACAGACTGCGACAATTCACAAATCAAACAGTTTACCGCCAAACAAAATATAAAGATTCAAATCGCTTAAAGCTTATAACCAGAAACGAAAATTCTAATTACCGGCGCCGCCAGCAGCGGCGTTTTTAACTAGAGTCATGGCAACCAGGAGTCGCTCTTCGGAGTAAATGCTCCGTGGAGCGAGAACTAAGAATATGAATGAACACAGAATAATCTCTATATGCATCTTCATCTTCTTCACGTTGATTCTGAAATTCCTCTGATTCGCATTGAACTGATGAAGAAAAAATAATGGCGGAAAAATCTGGGCCTCGCGGTTTTGTCACTGAGAACGGACCCACAAAGAAAACAGATCTGCTACTAAAGCAGCGGGAATTGACAGGTGATGGCTTTATGTAACGTGAGAGAGAGGCCGAAGAAACGTAACATATATATATATATATATGTGGAGGTGAATTTTGGAATTTCCGCACTATAGGATAAAAAAGTGCAAAAATACATCTAAGGTCGCTAAATTATTAGTTTAGTTATAAATTGGTCAGCTTCTTTTGAAAAGATATTTTTTATCCCTTAATTAAAATATCATCACAAATAGGTTATTCATATTTAATGCAGCCTGATATAATAATAGTTTTAGTCCATAAAATTTATATATTATATCAATATGACCCTAACACATTGATAGATTGTATAAATTTTAGAGACTAAAAATTTTATTATACTGTAAGATCACTCTTTCGTTTAATGTGTAATGATCATCGATCTATTTATAACAAGTGTGTAATGATCGTCGATCTATTTATAACAATACTTTTAATTGAATGATTAAATTATAACTTTTAGGGGGTAGGGATGGCAACCGGGCGGGACGAGTGTGGATACCCCTTCCCCTATCCCCATACTCACTTAATATTTTCGTATCCATCACCACCCACCGCTGGTAATTTTTTTTAAAAACTACACTCGCCCGCGCGGATACATTCTTAAATCCATCCCCACACACATTAACTAATAAGATACCCACCACTAGTCTCGTACACGTCTGTACCCGTCCATATCCATTGATTTGAGATAAGAGAAACGACTGACTTCAATTTTAAAAATATTTATACCATAATATTTGGTTACATTACATGTCATGTTCTATAAAATCTTAATATTTACAAAATAATTATTGAAATTATACCTAAATTCATAGTGGATAGTTAGTGGACAGGCGAATGTGGGGCGGGTAAGGTCTTAAATCCATTGCCTACCCACTACCCAAGACGGATATGACTTTTTACATCCACATCTGCCCACTACACACTAAACTTTTATCCATTCCCGCCCCCAATTGATGCGGATATAGTGCGAAATCCATAAAATTGTACTTATATGTCATCATATTGAGGGGGGAAATTGATATATTTGTCACCAAACTGATTATCGTGTAACCTAAGATGTATTTTACCCATAAAAGCTTATGGGTAAAATACAAATGCCACTCACTTATTAATAAGATTACAAATGGATCATTAAAATTTTAAAAAGTTACAAATAAGTCAGTCAATTAATCAATTATTGCAAACATGTCACTTTGTCGTTAAAAATGAAACGAACTTAACTTTTTTAATCATAAATCAAGCCAATCAATTTATCAATTGAAATAATCAAGTCATTCATTTTATTAATTGTTACAGTTAGGTAACTTAGTTGTAACTAAGAAATTAATGTCTATTACACACTTAACGGCAACGTGATTTGTTTGTAATAGTCGATTAATTGAGTTATTTATTTTGATTTTTTTTTAAATTTAATGACCTATTTGTAATCTTATCAATAATTGAGTAGCATATAATGTATTTTACCTAAACGTTAAATGTGTTGCGGATTATTTAAGGGTTAAAAAAGGGGTAATAGAACATGCCAATGATATGGATGAATTCAGTGAACATGCCAATGATATTGATGAATTCAGTAAACATGCCAATGAGGCTTCGCTGGAATGCTTTAAAATTTTGAGTATTTATTGTTTCTTCCCCCAAAATTATATATTCTTTTTGTTGCATTTAGATTCCTCAATTTTTATTTATCTCTAATTAATGGGAAGTTAGAAAAAAGGAAAGTAAAAAATTAAATGTAAAATACCATTTTTGTCCTCTTTAACTTTTGCAAATTATTTTAGAAAAAATATTAAATATTTAAATTTATCACTTTCGCCACTATAGTATTTTCACATCACTTTAACCCTTGAAATTGCTTAATTGTATCATTCAATACATATCCCAAACTTAAAACCCTAAATTATAAACCACAAGTTAGGGCTTAGGATTTATAGTTTAAAGTTTAGGGTTATAAGATTATGTTTTGGGTTTATGATTTATAATTTAGGGTTTTAAGTTAGGGATAGGATATGGAATGATGCAATTAAACAATTTTGACGGCTAAATTTATGCGAAAATACTATAGGGTCGAAAATGATAAATTGAGTTTGCTACAAGATCAAATGTGACCCTTAAACCTAAATTTAAATATGTCAAAGGTTTCAAATTTTAAAAATTTGTCCATATATCTTATTTTGGTAAATTGAATGTCCATACTTTATTTTCATTTTCTAACTTCTATTCAATTTTTTTCGCTATAAGCTTATCATTTTATTAATTTAGCCCTTAAAAATTATAAATATAAATAATTGATAAATTGTAGCACTTAATTAATGATAATTTTAATTTTTACAAAAGTTAAGTGTAGGGTTGATAAATACCGTAAATATAATGGAGTAAAAAATTGTTTTTACTTTCTATAGTTATCACTATAAAGGACTTATTATTAAAAAAATACATAAATTATATATCTTTTTTCATTTCGATGCTTACATTTTTCGGTAAATCTAAGTGTTTAATGTTACAAAACATTATTATTTTAAGTGTCTCGGCGACACGATCGTTTCAAAATCTCGTTAAGAGATATATATCACATTTATATAATTTTGAAAAATATGAACACGATACATGTCACCTAACGAAATTTTCTAATATTTGTTACAACCGAGACACTTAAAGTAATAACGTTCGTAATGTTAGTCATCTATATTGACTGAAAAAAGTTTAGACACCTAAATGGGAAAAGAAGTATAATTTGAACATTTTTTATATTAAGCCTTTGATTTACTACATTTACATCATCAAGATTCAAACTTTTAAACTTTCTTAACAATCTAACATAATAACATTCCATCCTCGTTGTGTGTGTGTGTGTAAATTACACGTTTAGTATATAAACTATCAGTTTTTGTCCGTTTTAGTACTTAAACATTCAATTTCTTTCAAACCATACCTAAAGTTTAATTTTTGTTTTATTTGAGTACCCATGTTCACAATTTATGAACTTTTTTTTGAAAGTTTAAGTTATAAAAGCGGGCCAAAACTAATAGTTTATATACTAAACACGTTGAGTTTTTAACAAAGAGGTATTGAAACGAAACAAAAACTAAATGTTAAGTATGTTTAGAAAAAAATATAAAAGTTTAGATACTAAAATGGACTAAAACTAATAGTTTAGGTACTAAATTCATAGTTTACCTTCTATTTTTTTTCCTATGGAACGCTGACGGGGGCCTACTTTCCTTGCCTAACGTATGACTTGTGGGAATTGTTAAGTGATCAAAGTCCCGACACACATTTGAATTCTGTTATGCATTTTGGATTACTCCTTGAATATGGAAAGTCTTACGTTACACAGCTCTTAGGTAATTGGTTAGTTTTAGGCCTGTAAACGAACCGAACGCACACGAACGGAGGTATGTTCATGTTCGTTCATTTAATAAATAGACGAACATAAACGAACACGAACATAAACGAACAAAATTTTTTTTGTTCATGTTCGTTTATTAAGGAATATAATTTGTTCATGTTCGTTCATTTAATAAATAAACGAACATAAACGAACACGAACATAAACGAACACGAACATAAATGAACACGAACATAAACGAACATAAACGTTGGAGACCCTACCTTCCATTATTCTTTCATGAAAAATAGTCGACAATGCAAATCAACCAAATCTACAGTGATAAATAGCGTAAGAGTTGATTAGCAGTGATGAAATGTTTGAAGATATCAAATATTTCGATCGATCTTTTAAAGATATTAAATGATTCACACAACTTTAATTTAACGCTATAACATTTATCTTAGTGGTCCATGATTACATATGAACAATCATTTTCTCCTATTACACTCTTTTTCATAAATGGCATAGAAACCTTTGTTTTGTTTTATGGTAAATTCTATATATTTTTCTCTTTACTGATGCTCGTATACTTCCGATTGTTACCTTTATATTCACATCTATTTCTAGAAAGAAGTATGATGTTTTCTTGAGTTTTAGATGTGAAGATACCTGCAATAACTTTACATATCAACTATTAAGTCAAATAAAACAGAGAAAGAGATGAAAACAAACATGTAAAACTTCATATTGCACTATAATATAACTTGTTTTGAAGCTTTCAGCGATCGTCTCCACTCTCTAGTGAACACTAGGGTTTGGGAAAAAAAAAAGGGAAATGAATATAGGTGCGAGGTGCCTCACAGGTTAACATATTGGATTTAATCTCCAAATAAAATTGGATTAATTATGGAGTTGGTCATCAGAATATCATATTAATTAATATTTTTAAGATACTTACAAATTGGTCACCAAAATTGATTTAAGAAGATTGGGTTAAACATAAATGAATGAACATAAACGAACATAATCGAACGAACATAAACGAACATAACCGAACGAACATAACCGAACGTTCACGAACGTAAATGAACGAACGAGACCTATGTTCATGTTCGTTCATTTAATTAAACGAACAAAAAATCTTGTTCATGTTCGTTCATTTAATAAATAAACGCACATAAACGAACTTCCCGCCGCACGGTTCATGAACGGTTCGCTGAACGTTCAGTTCATTTACAGGCCTAGTTAGTTTGTTGGCCACTAATATATGCACTTTTCGAGGGCGGGTGTTAAATCGGCCAATTTGGTTAATAGACCGAATCAAACTTCTAAAATTTTATTAATCGATATTTTTTTTCCAGATTAAACCGCTAATTGAATCGATTTTTTTAAAATAATTAATCAAAATGAAAAAAATTCGATTAATCGAATTTAACCGAAGTTTAAATATCCCTAAGACTAAGGGTTGACTTCCAATTCCATGAAAGTTAGGTATGATATCTCTTGGTGGTTTGACTTTGATAATTTACCTAATCTTTGTTAATTGGTGTTTTGACTTTGATGATTTACCTCATCTTTATGAATTTTTTTGGAATAAATTCTATTGACATACACGGAGCTAGGATCAGATATCGGGAGAGACTAATTTTATTTACAATAAAGAAACAAAGTTTAACGAAATATTTAAATATAACAATTAAAAATGATAAATGTTTTATTTAACTAATATTTAAATTAAAAAGGACTTAAAAAATTATCCTTGCTTGAAAAGCTCCTAGATTATCAAATTCTCGAAGATAATGAGCCATTCATCAGTTCTACTTGCTGAGCTTTGAGGAGGACGGACTTGAACTTATAAAATTTTTAGAAATCGAAAACAGATTTCAGTAGAACACATCTCTTATTGAAAGCTGATTAATACATATATAATTCATGGAACCCTAAGTCGGTTTTTACCTATTGGGCATTTAGTACATATAAAATAGTTTATACAATATCATTTAAACATTAAAAATATATTTTATGAAAATTATTTTTCATAAAATATAAATTATTTTCTGAAATATGTTTGCATATAAACAAATAGACCCTAAATGCCTCTACATTTACTTTTAGTGATCATGTTTACTTCATCTTTAACATTGTTAAGGTTGCCAGGAAATGGGTATGGATTTGAGGTATACCAAGTGGAAGCTGAGGCCCAAATAGCTTAGATAACCCATACAACAAAGGGTGAGCTAAAGGAGGGTAAAATTAGCCCAATAAGCTAGACAGGTAAAAAAATTGACCCATTAGACATTCCTCAAAATTAATTTGGGATCGATACTTGTTACAGTGATTTGAAACTCGTCACGTGGGAATGACGAGTTTCAATAAAATATGTTGTTTTATTGGAACTTGTCACTCTAACGTGATAAATTCTAATAAAGTATTATATCTTTTTGAAACTTGTCACATTGACGTGACGAATTTAAATAAAAAATATTATTTAAACAAAATCGTCATATGAACGTGACGAATTTCCTCTGCAATGTAGCATTTACCCTAAATCACAAATTAATTTTTGGGATGGCTTAATGGGTCAATTATTTTTACCGGCCTGAGGTATTGGGCCAACTTTGCCTTAAAGGAGGGCTTTTACCCAAAACAACGTCGGTTCAAATTGCAAAAACATGAAAATAATGATGGGTTTTCTGAAAATTAACTCAAAAATCTCACTTCCTTCGCCTCGCACTAGGGACCTTATTGATGATCACCAGAGCGACCGAAACAAAGCCTCACAAGCTGTACAAAGTCCAAGGTTAGTCCTCTCCAAAATATCTCTGTCCTCAATTTACACTTTTTTAATCTTATTTCATCTACTTTTCATTTGATCAGATCTTTACTCATCGCCCGTATGCAGATCAAATCTTATCTCTATTTCCCCCAGAATATTGTTTTTGAATATATTTTATAGCTTTTTTTTAGTAGTTCTTTACGCCCTAGATTGTTAGCCGTTTTTTGGAGTTCTTCCTTGCGCAATATGAGCTGTGAACGTGATGAAGATTTCGCATTTCATCTCAGCTTTTGTTTGTTTGCTGTGATTTTTTTTATATTAAATTAAAATTTTGAGATAATTATATATAAATTGACGTTAGAAAGACATGAAATGTGAATTTAACTGTTCTCTGTTTGTTTTGTTTCTGGACGGAAATGGGATTCTTAGTTTCATGCTGCTGGACAAGCAATTTAGTGTGATTTGAAAATTGTTGGAATAGTAAGCAATCATTTTTAGCTTTACACCTTTCCAATGCAAATCAGATGAAAGAATATTATCAAAAAGGGTTAACTAGGAGATGGAGATGTTAGGTTTGCACAACTAGAGAAATGGGTTGCTCATTTTTTCGGTTTTGGAGCACTCCTTTGTTTAAAGTTCCTCATTGGAGAATTGTGGTTTTGAAAGTGTAACACTGTGATGAATTGAAAATTTCTATAATTATTTTTAGGAAAACATGATACTATATTATATCTAGTGGATAGAGCTGGTTCAGTTTTCCTAGATCTAGCTACTGATGTTTTTCATGTTTTGTTATGTATTTTAATAGATATTGTTTTCTGTAATTGTTTTGCAGGTTGCATGGGTTTCTCTGCTAATAGTGTTCATTAGAGAAACGGTGCAACTTTGTTCTCGAGATTCATTTTGTGTTGTATTTGATTTAGGTGCATAAAAGGTGTGCTTCGGATAATTGACCCAAAAGAGTTGTGCGCTTAGTCATGGATTCTTTGTGGAAACTTTTATATTTACTTGAACCTGCTCCACTTACTCTCATTGCTACAGCAGTGGCTGTGACATTTGGATCTGCATTTCATGCTCTGAATTATGGGAAAGAAATGGAGAGGAATCGTGACTTGTCAGAAGCATCAATTACTCTAGATAGGTCCCAAGCACTAATGATCCCAATAATGAGCTCCTGCAGCTTGCTTTTGATGTTTTACCTTTTTCCCTCGGTCTCACAACTCCTGACTGCATTCACAGCTATTGCCTCTGTTTCATCCCTATTCTTTTGTCTATCCCCTCACGTTGGGTATTTGAAATCACAATTTGGTTTGGCTGACCCATTTGTGTCTCGGTGCTGTTCAAAGTCATTTACAAGAATACAAGGCTTATTGTTATTAGCATGCATCCTTACGGTTGCATCTTGGCTTGTTTCAGGGCATTGGGTTTTGAACAATGTGTTAGGTATCTCCATCTGCATTGCATTTGTCAGTCATGTGCGCCTTCCAAACCTCAAAATATGTGCGATGCTTCTAGTATGTCTTTTCGTGTATGACATATTCTGGGTTTTCTTCTCTGAAAGATTTTTCGGGGCCAATGTCATGGTGTCAGTAGCAACACAGAAAGCTTCAAACCCAGTTCACACAGTTGCTAATAGTTTGAGTCTTCCCGGCTTACAATTGATCACAAAAAAATTAGAATTGCCTGTAAAGATTGTTTTTCCAAGGAATTTGTTGGGTGGTGCATCCCCTGGTGGGAATTCAGCTGACTTCATGATGCTTGGTCTTGGTGATATGGTAAGAAAGCCTCTCTTCAGTATATGAAAAAAAGTAGTTTTTGTTGACTTTTAAAGGTGTCTTATTTTATGATCAGCAGTATTCATTACATTTCATTTGATTTTGATATTTATTCTTTTTTGAATGAACATGGAGAATATTCAAATCTTGTCCCTTATGTTGTTCGAGGAGTAATTACTCGGGCAAGTTTACTGGTTGCAGTACTATTTAGTTATTTAAAGTTGAATTTCGTATGCCTATTGCTATATATCATGCAAAGCTCTCGAATATTTGCAGGCTCTTTGTTACTGGACTATCATCTATTAGTATATTCAAGGTGTAAGTCCTTAAATCGTCATTTCAGTTTCAAGCTTGAGAAGTTTATTCTGGTTTGCAAATTACACTTGCAGTCTTGCACTTGGGATCTCAGTCTGGACTTGTCAACCAATCATTTGTTATTTGCAATTCATGCATTTTTAGAGACAAGCACTCCAATAATATGCATGTGACATTTTCAGAATAACATCGTAGCATTGTGTATCAGTTCCACATTACTTTGCTGGCAATTTTCAACCCATTTTTTCCTCCCCAATCGTTAGAGTTTCTGACTTTTTCTTTTCTTGGGTTCCACATAGGCTATTCCTGCAATGCTGCTAGCATTGGTCCTCTGTTTTGATCATCGAAAGAGTAGGGAAACGGTAAATCTTTTAGATTTATATTCCTCTAAGGGGCACAAATATATATGGTATGCCCTTCCTGGGTATGCTGTTGGACTAGTAACTGCAATTGCGGCTGGCATTTTGACTCACTCACCTCAACCTGCTCTCCTTTATCTGGTATTTTATCATTACAGTTTATTGAAACTTGTTGACCCTCTATATTTATCATGAATTTTTGCAAACATGATGTACTCATTCTGATCATTTCTATTCTCCCTGTGTACTCGATCGAAATTCGACAAGGGTTTATTAAAGCTGTTATTGAATGTTATAGTTTTCTTGAGTTCATGGGATGCCTGTTGCACCTCCACATCGTCTTTGACTTGCATCCTTAATCTTTTACGTGTAGGTACCTTCAACACTGGGACCTGTAATTTTCATGTCGTGGTTAAGGAAGGAGCTACTTGAATTATGGGAAGGAACCATGCTAAATCTGAATGACAAGGCTAGGCATATAGAAGCCTGAGCCATTTCTTCCTGTGGCACAATGTTATGTTAGGTTGTGTATCGTCGGGAGTACGCAGAACCGTTTGGTTGTATATCCTTGGGATGTTCCGCCATTGAAAAGTAGAGTAATATATCAACAATTCAATGTTTTACTTTATGAAATCCAACTTTGCCAATGATATATTTACCTAGTGAAATCCAGGAAACAAACATGGTGAGTCTAGTGTTTGAACAATAAGCAGGTTACAATATCAACGAGTTGTTCTAATATGCTTTCTGCCCTTCCATTTATGCCTTAATTTGGATGGTAAAATATACATGTATAAATCTCATGATAGAGGCTCATTTACTCGATGACCAAAGGACGTTTTAAGATCTTTGCCATTCAACTTGGATTTCATGGTTGTCCGAGTTCTTTTGTCTTAATCGGGTCAGAGAACAATTTGCGACACTTCTGAACCAGACATGTGATTACCATTTTGCTTTATCAAAATGATTATCTCGTGTGGCTCCATTAAAGCTGGTAAGGATAATTGCTTGAGGCAACTTTTTAGAATTCCTGGCTGTATATTTTACCATATCATCCTAATGGGCCGTACATGTAAATTTCTTGACATGCATTTATAACATCATCTTGTTATCATATGTGGATGTGCACATATATTCCCTGGATGTGAGATGTTAGGTGGAACATGCATTAAGAGCTGTTGAACAATAGCAGACACCACTTCCCTCTTTAGCGTGCACATTTCAAGCAGTTTCTTGGTTGTCAAGGTACTGTTTTCCATAATTTGCTCAAACAAGTCACAGGAGAAATAGTAATGACCTCAAACTATCTTAATGTTATTCTTAATCATTTATTTTTCACTCGTTCAATCTAGGGATGGGCATGGGTTGGGTTTTCCAGCCAACCCGACCTGACCGACCCAAAATTTTTATACCTTCACCCGAAACCCGATCAGACTTTTGAGATAAAACTTTACTCCGACCCGAAATAATATAAAATTATTAACTATATTTAATAAACAGAGAATTAAAAAAAATAATATAAAGAGGAATATTCTTACAATTATCCCTAAATTTAAGATTTTTTATATTATTTTTTTGGTCGGGTCAGATTTTTTCTCCCTAAACTCGAACACAAACTTAAATTTTTTAAAAAATCCGACCAGATCAGGTCAAGTCGAAACCCATCGAGTTCGGATCTCATGCCTATCCTAATTCAATCATCTAAAATCATTTAACTTCAGTCATTCGACAAGAAATGACATAGATGAGTCCCCTTGAGATCAAATTTTACACCATCAACGTATACCATCTCAATATTTTGCATATTAGGTTTGCACATATTTTATTAAGTTGTTTAGTTGTGGCTTTTACTCAATTTAATCATCACTTGTTAACAATCTATCATATGTGAATCCATTTGAGATCGAGTTTTTAAAGGTGTAAATAATATGATCAAGACTATAATCACAATATATAAAGTGTACTCTATTTTTCATTTAAGTACCTAAAGTATTTTCTAGTCAAAATAAATACCTAAAATTTAATCAAAATAAGTATCTAAAATATTTTGTCAAAATAGGTACCTATACTATTCAATTTTTTTCATCTAAATTCTAAAAAAGTGAACATGCAACAATAATTAAAGAATATTTTAAGTACTTGGATGGGTGTCTAATTTCAAAAAGACATAACTTTAAAGTCATTACTTCTTCCAATTTCTCATATCTAATTCAAATAAAAAGTTTTCAAAACACAGATTTCAGTCTCAAACAACAAAAACGAAACATAAGCTAAACAAACATCTCCAGCTGCTCCTAATCGAGAACAGAGCAAAACCAAGAAAACAAAGGTTTATTTCTTCTTTTCTGCACCTCCACCATGGGCCCTGAAAGGAACATCACACGAACAACAATATTTATTACCGTTTTCAGATGGCAAAGGCTTCCTCGAAACGTAAGAAGGAAACATATAACTGCTTGTCCGATATGTTGTAATAAGAGATATTACCTCATCTTACGGAGAACGCTGGACATCTCTTCACGCTTCTTCTTTGCCCTTTTGTGAGTTCCCAACTTCCTTTTAGCAACCTTTAGAGCTCGCTTGTCCTTGCCAACTTTCAGAAGCTCAGTGATCCTCTTCTCGTATGGTGCAAAACCAGCAACTTCTCTGATCAAGCTCCTCACGAAATGAACTCTCTTGCTTGTTTTCTGAATAAGATAAAGTAATTGGGACCATGACTTCTCTGATCACAACAATTTACTAACACCGCTATTTTCCTATGTTGCTCCGACTACTTTTATGTACTCTGTCCATGCACATCCGAACAAATAATCTATATATCAAGCCACATTACCAATTACCATAACTAAAACTTGTGTCCAAATCTGAGCCATGTAGCTTTTTCACCTAAGCAAGTTTGCCTTTCTCTTTTGATAAAAGAGATGCACAATTACAAATAATCTACATAAATGAGAATAGATGTACTTACTCCTTTCCGAATGGAGGGACGAGGAGCCAACTCCTTCTTGGTTACAACATGACCCTTGTTCAGTCCTACAGAGAGGCCAGTATTTGGCTGCTTGGTAGCCATGCCTGTTTCAGAAACAACCAAACAACTACATAAAATTAACCAAAAAACAATAAATTCAAGCAACATTTCAATAATCTTTCATATTCGAATTACAGATCAGTTCGATTATCAACTCGAGCTTCAAACAGAAGTTGAAAAATCATTTTAACCTAGGAATCAAACCAAACATTAATTATACTTTCCTCCATAAACAGCTCAAATTCCACAAAACATATTTGCATCAACAATTAAACAAAAAAAATACAGCTGCATATTAATCTCCAAATATCTCAAGACCAAGAACTACATTTAGATAAAATGAGCATCAAAACTAACTCTAACACATAAAACATCAGCTAAAACAAACCCACCAGTCAACGCACAGCAGATAATGAACACAGCAAACACAATTTCTGGGTTTTCAGCTTACAGTTTAGCTTCCCAAGCAATCAAACAGAGAAAAATACTCAGAAAAAAAGATGCTAAAGAAGAGTGAAGGGGCTCAGAGAGATAGTGAAGATGTACCTGCGGAGACGGGATAAATGAGGCGGAGTTCAAAGAAAATAGGGTTTTCGGGATCGTGGCATAACAAATATATTGAGTTCTAACCCTAGGTTTTAAGGGTTGGTGACATGGGTTCTGGGCTGAGAAGCCGAGAAATAAATAACGTGCAGAGAAGAGTAATGGCTTGAGGATTGACCCAACCCAAAATCTCTTAGAGCCCAGTTACTTCTAGATTATCTAGCTTCTAGGGTTTAAATATGTTAGGGGTTTGTACTATGTTAAAACTTAAAATTTAGTCCATATATACTAATTTTGTGACAATGAATCACTAATATTTTAGGTTAAATTATGCATTTAATATATAATCTATCGGTTTTGAACCATTTTAGTACCTAAACTTTTAATTTTTTTAAAAAACACACCTAACGTTAATTTTCATTTCATTTTAGTACCCGTCGTTAAAAAAATTAATACATTTAGTACCTAAATTATCAATTTTGATACATTTTATATCCTAAATTTTAATTTATATATTTAAGGTTTTAACAATTTGACTCACAATTAAAAAAATATCATTAATTAAACATTGTAATTTTTTTTATCATCTACCTTTATAACCTTTTTAATAGGAATCGAGTTGGGAGTTGTATATAGGCACAGAGTGTTAAAGAAATTGCACAGAGTGTTAAAGAAATTACAAACGAATCGTTGATATGAATATTTTAAGGGTAAACTACACATTTAGTCTTTAAACTATCAGTTTTAATCTATTTTAATACTTAAATTTTTAATTTTTTCAAAATCATACCCTAACGTTTAATTTTTTATTTAGAAAGTGTGATATCCTTCTATAGGCAACTTGAAGTTGCCAAATGGTATAATTTGCAACTTGAATCTGTCCTCCTTTATACCACAATGGTCCTATGAAGGTTTTTTTTTGGCTCTCTCTAGTCCCAAGGTTTCTTCTTGACTAATCTCGATCGACTCGGGTCACACATCTGATTTTGGTAGATGAGTCTCCCAATGAGAATTTTCTGCATACATAAGAACTCGAACCTGAAACCTTGCTTGAACAATTTCAACTTGAACCAACCTCGCTGGTCAACATGAAGTCTGATGTTTGTATTGCATTCAAAATCTTGATCTTTCTTTCTTTTTTTCTTTTGATTTTTGAAAGCCTTGGTGTAAGTATGGTTTACAAGAGAGAGAAAAAAACAACAATCGACATATTTAAGACAAAATAAGGTAACACTTAACAGTATGGTTATAAGGTATATCTACAATTACCTGGTGTAATGAAAGCAAGGCCTGCATTTCTGGTAGCATGCGTTTAACATCCTGAGTTCTGCTATTAGTATTGTTAGTGATATTCATTTTCAGGACATGCCAGGGCCAACAAAAGTGCCTCAGCTTACCTCGGCTCCTCTCTTTGCCCTCCGCTTCTTCTAATTGTTTCGTTAACTCCTCGATCCGTTCACGAAGTCCTGCAGCTCTGCTGTCGGCTAGCTGCAGAGACCACTCTGCAGCTGCCTGTGCAGCTATAGCAGCGACTGCGTGTTCTTCTTTCAGCTTTAACTTGCCATTGGATATTTCCAGTGCTGCCTTTGTTTTGTCCAACTCTTGCTTCAAAATGACAACCTAGTCAAACATCAATGCTGCTAGATTTCATCTCAATAACTCCAATTAAATTCTAAGATACAAATAAAGATCATCTATGCTACTATGACTACTTTTGCTTGCACATGCATTTGACATTTGTATCATGCGGTGATAGGGATGGACCGAGCGAGCGGGTGGGCGGTCGCTCCTTGAAAGTTTAATATTATCTTATATTTTAGATTTTTTTCTATGTATTTTCTATTGAAAATTTGTTTTCACTCCTGAATTTTATAAGTTCAAGTATTTTCCCTTAGAATTTTAAAAATTCAAGTTCGCCCCCAACATAAAATTCTGTATCCGTCCATACGGGACATAATCATTCATATTCATAGAAAACTTTAAATATTCGTATCCGACAAACGCATCCAAGCTCGAGTAATGCAAAAGATAAAATAATATTCGTATTCATTTTCAGAGCACACAAGTTTGATGGTTCATATTGACAGAATAGAACTACGTACCAGTTTGTCACGCTCTTTAACCTCTTTTTTTCCAGCTTCTACTTCCAACTCACAAGCTTCCCTCCATCTAGCAACATCTGCTTCAGTTTCTTTTATTTCCATCAATAGTTCCTCGACCTTATAAAGTTGAAATTCCAATTAAATAATAAAGGAACTAAGAAGAGAGAAAGGGTGGATGAGGTTAGGAATGAAAAGAACAGAACATGTCCAAGGGGTGCAGAAAAAAAAAGACAGATGCTAACATTTTGAGCTAAAATCATCTCCCTGACTTCCAATTCCTTAATGTACAGTGTGTTTTCTTCAATTTTTTGAACTTGTTTCTCCGTAAGACTCTGCAGTCGCTCGTTATCGGACCTAGAATAGCAAGGACACAAATAGTCGATAACAAAAAATCTTTTAGCAGGAATAAGAATTGAGCACTTAAGAACAGGAGAGCATAGATTCATAATCTTTTCATCTTCCAAAAGAGACACATTGATAGAGATTTTACCTATACTATATCCTTGAAGTTATAAACTACTATCAAAGGATGTCTTAATTGTCATCAAAAGCAAAATATTACATGGAGAAGTGCAATCACCGTGAGTTCCGATACGACTGTCTCCTATATATGATCAATAGCAGCAAACATTAATGAAATACCAAGATTCCTCCAAAGATCGTCGTAATTGAGAAATTTCAAGTCTTAAGTTCTTCATTATCTTCTCCACCGTAGAGGCCTGTCGAAGATATAAGTTAGACATTTTGCTCGTTGCAAATTCATCAATGTATAGTACAGACGCATACCAGCTAGCTAGAATTACCAACAATCACTAATTCTTAACGAACAGTATGTGCCATCACCGATTTAAGTTTGGACATATATGAAAATTAAGCTTTCAACCCACAAAAGGAACAAGTTAAGGGATCTTAACCAATATTAATTTTGGGTTCAATTGAATGGAAAAATTGAAGCATCCATGTGAAGCTAGTATGCCAATGCAAACAAAGATGAAGTGAACTTGAACATACCAGGCTAACAACCTCCTCTTCACACTCGCTATTATCCGATTTACTCCCGGTAGTAGAAGTACTACTGGCGCCGGATCTCTCGATGGCTTGCTCGTTGGGTCGTCCGTTTCCCATCATAAACCCGAACCCGACTCTCTGCAGCCCCCGCTCTGCAATATGTAACAATGCCACCCTCTTTTGCTCATTGTTCCCTTTCAACTTATTCAAGTTCTTCTCCACTGCCTCTTTCTCCACCAAAGCGATCCTCAACAAGCTATTGATGTCACGGTTCTCCTAAGTTAAACTCACGAGGCTGCTCTCCAATTCCCTCTTCTTCTTTCTTGCTTCCTTGAACTCGTTTGCTTTCGAGTTAGCTTCGCTCGCAAGTTTTAAAACCGTGGTAATTTCTCTCCAAAAAATCCCCAGTTCTTTGTGTTCTAATTCTGTTTTCTCGCTCTCGCTATCGACATTCTCCACCAACGCCTTTTCATCATTCAAAACTTCGACGAGTTTGACCAAATTTTCCTTCACTGGCTGGATCGAATCCAAGCTTTTCTCAAATACTTCATTCATAACTTCAGTTTTGGATTCAAACTCTTCGATTTTCCCTCTAGAAATTTCAAGCTGTTTCTCGAGTTCTAGCTTCGCTTTCGATTCCTCGTCGATCTTTCTTGTGAAACCTTCCTCGTTTTCTCTCAGAATGACTTCAAATTCCTCGATTTGGCGCCGAAGAAAGTCTCGCTCGAGTGACAAGCCGTGGACTTTATCCGTTAAAGTAGCGGCGTGAGCAATTGCTTCGTCTCTTTGTTGCTGGAGGAGACGCATATTCTCCTCCAAGGATGAAGATTTGGATCGGAAAGATTCGAATTGGACGAGGAGATCATCATCGGAGATTGATGACGACACGGCGGAAGAATCGCGACCGTTGATAGAGATTTCCGATGAAGGATCAGCGGCGGTTTCCATGGTCCATAGACAGGAGAAAATAATTTAGGGATTGTGGTGAGAAAGGGAGGTGGAGTAGGCATGGAGGGATGAGAGTGTATTTTGAAGCTACCGGTCAAACGGACACTATAAAGAAGGTCAGGTGGGCGAAGGGAATGCATGGATAACTAGTTTTGGCGGGGATTAGTTAAAATGTCACTATGTTATAACTTCCGGTTAAATCCATATTTACCCCCCAAAGTTGGGAACTTTTATATATTTGGTCCCTGAATTAGATTTTTTGGATAAACTACGCATTTAGTACCTAAACTATCAGTTTTGGTCCATTTTAGTATATAAACTTTTAATTTTTTCAAACCATACCTAATGTTTAGTATCCCGTCATTAAAAACTTAACGTGTTTAGTACCTAAACTATCCGTTTTGTTCCGTTTTAGTACCTAAACATTCAATCTTTTCAAAATTTAACGTTAAATTTTGAACGAGGGTACAAAAAATGAAACAAAAATTATACTTTAGGTGTGATTTTGAAAAATTAAAAGTTAAGAACTAAAACAGACCAAAATTAATAGTTTAAGTAATAAAAATATAATTTATCCTAATTTTTTTTATTAGCATGACTCTAGAAATTGAAAAATATTATCAATGCTAATCATCATTATCCATTTTATTTTTTTAATATATAAAATATAAAATTTGTTGCAAAATATTATCAATGTTAATCATCATTATCCATTTCTATTTTGTAATATATAAAACATAAAATTCTGTTATATCTTACTAAAGACCATTTGCATATTATTCTCGTATTTCATAATCATTAAAAGAATTTAAATAATTTTTTATTTTCTGACATTTAAGAATGTCTACAATAATGTAAAATAAAATACCTATGAATGAAGGACTTCCAATACCTAAATTTTGAAAAAAAAATGTAATTTTATTAGCACAATCTTTAACAAGCTCACATGATTTATCAAAGTCAAATTCATTATTATATGATTATATCCACTTAAGTTGTTAATCTTCTTGCGGTAGTTGTCGCACACATTAATATGTTCTTATATAATCTCTTGAGCATGATTAAAAGAAAAGATGTGACTAGAAATTGTTATTTCACCTGCATCTGATAGGTTGCGATCCGATTTGATTTGATTCGATCTGGTCAATTTTTTTTTTAAAAAATTGAGTTTGAGTCGGGTCAAAATTTTTAAGGGGTGAAGTCGGGTTTGGGTGAGGGTGAAAAAACTCCAACCCAACCTAACCCGAGGATAATAATGTAACTTTCTTAAAAATGTTATTATTATTTTTAATTAAATCCTTAATTTGTATAGAGTTTGGTCAGATTTATACTCTAAAAATTAGAGTCGAGTTAGGTCCGGCGGGTTGAAAGTAGGATATAAAATTTTTGGGTCGGGTCGGATTTGGGTGGATGATGCATATTTTTAAATCGGATCGGGTTGACAAAAAACTCGACCCTAACCATCCCTAGATGTGACTTTAATGAATCTACCTCACTTTAGTTCTTATATGCTCCATCTCTTAATGAAGATAAAATTTACTGATACAAATAATATAAATTTACATATATAAAATATTAAAAAAATAATTATCATACAACTAATTTTAATCTGAGTAAAATAAAATTTAATTTTTTATTATTTAAAATATGAAAAAAAATTAATTATAGCAAAGAATAATTCCATCATAATCAAAACAAACTTTAATAGAAAAGATTCTTCAAGATGAAGATAGAAATATAAAAGTGAAAATGACAATGCTAAAGCTTTCTAAAACATTAAAATAATAAAAGATTCAAACTAAAATCAATGTGAGGAACTCTCCACATAGTCCGTTCAAATATATAAAAAAAAGGAAAGGATAAAATAATATTTAGCTCCTAACTTAACAATAGTATATATATATATATATATATGGTATAACTACTTGTATCCAATCTATTGATCGACTAATTCGAATTGGATACTGCAGAGGCAAGGGAGACCCTCCCAACCCAGTTTACTCCATTCGTAATTACCAGGATTTGAACCCCTGACCTTGTTTAAGGGATCTGGTGCTTATCAAATTAGACCAACTTAATGTCAATGGATCCTACTCCTTTAAACATTACTCATCCTCTCCTAATAAATATGTTACATTCTAATTTTTAATAATAATTTTTTTAAAATTTATCTTCTTATTATCTTTTATATATCATTGCAAAAAAATATTTTTTTAAATCTATGAATATTTAAAATTATTAAAATTAAAGTTTTTGTTTTACAAAAATGATTAAAAGTCAACATTTTAATTAGATTTTACGTTAGAGACGATTCAATTTTTTTAATAAAAATAAGGCTCAACTTTAACTATTTTTTAAAAGATGATAATTAAATGTAATTAAACAATACAAAATACCAACAACCAGTTGGTTTAGTGGGATAGGCACTAGGTCTATTAAGCAAGGTCGGGGTTCGAATCATGGCGTTTGCGAACGGAGCAAACTGGATTGGGAGGGTTGCCCTCGCCTCTGCAGTACCCGATTTGGATTAGTCGGTCAATAGATTAAATAATAATGATTAATTAAAAAATAAAGACTAACATGGTGAATTGTATACAAGTGAAGGACTAGATTTATCATTATTCCAATAAGATAAAACCTCAGCCTTTTCCATTTCACACTTGCCATTTGGCCTTTCATTCCTTTACCTGTCCTGTTTCATTTATTTATTACCGTTTAAATCTCATCGTAATTTTCAAGCGACTGTCTCTCCCTTTTTTATCTTTGTTTTGTCCAAAAGGTAGGTTAGACTTGGAGCGATGACACAGATCTAATGCTGAAAAGAAGAAGAAAAGGCCAACTTTTAACTCGGTGATTGACTCACTCACCGAGTCAATTTGGACAGTTTAAAGTGGTCCTGAATCCCACTCACAATTTCCGTGGAACGGCATATTCTTAAAATAAAGAAAAAAAGGATAAAAAAAAACAGGAAGAAAAATCTGTGGACAGATGGGAAGTCTGGTGGGAGAGATTGAAGGTGAGAGAGAAAACGGTGTTGAGGAGGTTATTTTTGTTGCGGTGGGGAGGAATGTTGAGAAGAGTAAGACGACTCTTAATTGGGCGGTTGACAACTTTCCCGGGAAAAAGATATGCGTGCTTCACGTTCACCGGCCAACTCATGTACTTGCATCGAGTGAGTTTTTTTCTTTTCTTTTCCTTTTATGAATATTGAATTTTGGAGTTTGCTCAGTGGTTGTTGATTTACTGTTTGGTTGCTGAGAAAGCTGAAGGAAAAAGAACGGAAATTTGGAAATTGTTTTTGTTTTTATACTGCTGACGCCTGCTCTTATTGTTTAAAAAAATCAAAATTCGTGAAAGAAGAGAGATCAATTGTTTGCTTGTTCCTGTTTTTATCATCAGCTTATTATATTTGAAAACAAAATAAAAAAAAACTTGAGCTGATCTTTTGAATAACTCAACATCGAATGAACTAGGATTGAATTTTACCAGCACTTCTGGATTACGAGATTTTATTACTACAATTCCATTAAATTTTCCCGGAAATTTTGTGGACCTTTACTGGAAATGCAGAGTTTGATTCGAAGATGCCCAACCTCACAAAAGATAAATAAATAAGTAATAAAATGGCTTGCTCTATGCATCGAATAATGTAAACTGGTTTCAATATGAACAAACAGCAAGGGGGAATAACCTGTTTCTATTTGGTATTTGATTTAAGAGTCCAGTCTCCAGTGCATTTGACTGAAAATAGAAACATAATGGAGTTATTAATCAGAAATCATACTTTATATGGAGCAATGGATATTCATAATTTTACAGAACTGGTAAGTAGCATGTTTTTATTTGGTATTTGATTTAAGAATCCACTGCATTTGACCGATAATAGAAAGCTTGCGGAGTTATGATCGGGATACTTTATATTTCACTTTAGTGGATGTTTGTAAACTTATAATGAGGGATGGTTATTATGCTTATTTGTAGCTTGATTGCTTTGATCATATGGTAGATATTTTAAGATATTCTTATATCTTTAATTTTCTAATATAAACAGCGGACAGAAAGCTCAGCCTCAGGCGTGGCAAATTGAAACAGCATGCAGTAGAGGCATTCCAGAAACTTGAAAGACAAAAATTACGAGAACTCTTAGATGAATACCTTCTTATTCTTGACCATTCAGGGGTACTATTTATTTTCTCTCTTTTCTGATCTAGTTCTGTCACTGATATGACCAAAATGACGCTTATTTTTATTCTGAGCAGTACTCTTTCTAGAGACAGGGTCCCTGCTGTTTGTTTGATGTTCCTATCAACTAATGACACGACGATGTGTACATTGTCCAGGTACAAGCAGATGCAGTATGGATAGAGATGGACAGTGTTGAAAAAGGAATTGCAGAAATTATAGCACGTCAAAATATTAGATGGCTTGTCATGGGAGCAGCAGCAGATAAATACTATTCTACGTAAAAATCTCTTATCACAATCCTATTTTCGTCTTATATCATCATGGTGCAACTCTTAAGGAGATATGAAAAGCTTCAGTTATACCCAAGTAGTATCATCATGAATGTATATTGGTAATTTGGCATTCTGTATTCTTCTTAACAAACCTAGCATGCTGGTTACAGTGGTGGTGCAAGCCTCCAGTTTGTAATGTATTTGATGTTCTAATGGTTTGGTTCTCAATTCTGAATTTAAATTCTCTTTGAGATTGCAGGAAACTAGTAGAACTGAAGTCCAAGAAAGCAATATTTGTATGCCAAAGTGCACCAGTTTCTTGTCATATCTGGTTTGTTTGCAAGGGCTGCCTCATCTATACTAGGTAATGCTTTAAATTGTAAAAAGGGTTGCTGGACATTCTTTTAGGTTGGAAGAGGCATTGATGCCTCCTTCACTGCTTTTTGGTCCATTGGATCATCAATGCAAATTTTAACTGTGGCCTCATTACTTAAAGATGATAGATTTACCCTTCTTACTATCTTAACTTCTCCTCTCAGCATCAACTGCCCCACGGCAATTTAGCTGTTAATTGTGTGTCTTATAATTAATTTGTTTGACTGGTGGCGGTTGTCTAGCTCTAAACTAGTGGATTAGCATTTTCAGGTTAACTTTGTAGAGTTTTGCACTGAGAACTTAAATGTATTTTTTACTAGTTGGACGTAATATGAAACAGAGTAAGCAGAAAAGAAGGATCTAGTAGAGAGATTACAACTCCATCACAACCACTGGATTCGCTCTTAGGATCGGAGCAATCACAGATCTTTCTGTCAGAATCTGTGCTTAGGAAGAGACTTCGAGGTAAACTCCCTGCTCCTGATCAAAATCTTATTTTAGATCTTGTCTGTTGGCTCTCATTTATAAAGTTCCAGGCAGATGTTTTCCCCCGGAATAACTTAGTTGCTGAGCCATGCAGAACTAGAGGTAGAGACTAACGTAGTGAGGGGAGATTTAAGACCTACTTCCACGCATTCAGAAGATCCAAACTTGTGTAGCAATGGAGTAGGCAGAAAAGAAGGATCTAGTAGAGAGATTACAACTCCATCACCACCACCAGATTCACCCCTAAGTACAGCGCAATCAGAGATCTTGCTGTCAGAATCGCTGCTTAGGAAGAGACTTCAAGGTAAATTCCCTGCTCCAGATCAATATATCATCTTAAGATTTTGTATGTTGACTTTCATGTATAAAGTTCCAGGCAGATGTTTTCCTCCGAGGAATAACTTTGTTGCTGAGCCATGCAGAGCTAAACATAGATACAGACTCGGTGAGAGGAAATTTAAGGTCTTGTTCCTGGCATTTAGAACATCCAAACTCGTCTAGCAGTGGAGTGATTGACACAGATGGATCAACCCTGTTGCAAATGGATGAGGTGAGAAAAGATGTTTTAATTTTTAACTTGTTGGTATCATTGCCAAGATAATTGAAGTTATTTTCTGGTAAGGTTGTAAGCTATTCTAGCTGTTCCTTTTAAACTTTGGCATTTAGAGAACAAAAGAAAAGAAAATCCAAGTGGTTTTTACTGTTGAATTTATCAAGATTTTATGAACCAGAGTTCGGATTCCATTGAGTCAGATTGTGTCAATTTAGTTATTTGTTAAAGAAAACCACCAATGTTGCTGGATGGTAAATTTTGTTATACCTTCTTATTCTTCTTCTTACTATGGAATCTATTTTGATCACACTAAACAGCCAGATTACACTAAAATGGTTTGCTGCTTTTCAGGAAGCGGAACATCAAGGGCAAGCCAGTAATGAAATTGATGAACAAGTAGAAGTGTCTACTATATATTGTCATAACTTAAAGCAGGAATCCTTTTCAGAGACAGTGAGACGACGGAAGGAGGAGAATGATGCCATGGAGGCTATATCCAAGGTGAAAATTTATTCTTTTTCATTCTTTATTGCTTGGTTGACAAGATTCTGATTTCAGATCGAATGAAGCTTCTGAAACATCTTGCTTGAGTAAATTGATAGAAGATTAAATAAATTGTACCATTTGCACTGATCCTCTCTAAAAAATAAATAAATAACTTCCTGCTCATGATACTTTCTTTTCAGGAAGAGGCTTTAGAAAGCTTATGTGTGAAGGAGATGATCAAAAGGAAAGAGATGGAGGAATTTCTTGAAAGAGAAAAGCAAGAAATACAAAAGATGAAGGATCAGCGTGATGAATTTATTAAAGAACTACAAAGGGTTGAGGGCCAAAGGGTGAAGGTTGAGAGCCAAATTGCGGATTACCAATGCACAGCGGAGCTGTTGAAGGACAAGATGTTCTCAGCTGTGGAACTTTTGATTAGTTTTAAGAAACAACGGGATGAGATGAGAATAGAGCATGGAAATGCCATGAGGGTGTTGAAAAAATTAAGGAAATTGGTAAATGGAGGAGATGCAAGCTTTCCAGGGACACAAATCCTTGAATTTTCTTTCATGGAGATTAACAATGCCACTCGTAACTTCGATCCATCTTGGAAGATTGGAGAAGGAAGATATGGAAGTGTATACAAGGGTTTCCTTCGCCATTTGAATGTTTCTATAAAAATGTTGCCTTCGTACGGCTCTCAAAGCCTCACGGAATTTGAAAATGAGGTAAACTTTATCCAAACATCTCTAAATAGCTACAACATCGAAAGAAATTGTTGTTCTTGTTGGGTTTTTTCCCTTTTCCTTTTTCCCTGCTAGAGTCATCAACACAAGATACATCTGATGAACGAGAGACAGATTGTAAAATTAGGATTATCATACTAGGGAAAAAGCTTCTTTCATGGAGGGACCGTTTTTGGCATCATTCAATTATTATCTTCAGTCTTGAAATGTGCTTTGTTAGGCTACACCTTGGCATATTACCATAAATACAGCACATCACTGAGTTGTTGCTTTAACATCGAAATATGTTTCGAGTGTACCATTTCAGTGATAAAAAAGACATTTCCTATCAGAGTAAATTAGAGGTGAGAATAACAAAGCCTCTCAGAGAGCAATTAGTTGTTTGCATATCCTGCTAGCTTCCGGATCGTTTTATTGATTAAGAAAATTGAGGTGCTTTCTGAAAGTAATCTGACATATTCAATTGGTGCTTCTCATACTTTTAGGTTCTTTAGCTTCCCTTTTCTATGGTTCAAAAAGTTGTCTTAGTTAAATTTCTGTTACCCATTGATTCCATCAGTAAGTTTTCCGGTGATGGTTTTTTTCCTGATAATTTATTTCAGGTAGAGATATTATGCCGGGTTAGACATCCAAATCTGGTAACAATAATTGGAACTTGCCCGGAATCTAGGTCACTGGTGTTTGAGTACCACAAGAATGGCAGTCTAGAAGAGCGCCTTGCTTGCAAAAATAAAATCCCACCACTTCCATGGCAAACTCGAATTCGCATTGCTTCTGAGATATGTTCTGCTCTTGTCTTCCTCCACTCTAACAAGCCTTGTATCCCCCATGGGAACTTAAAACCTTCCAAGGTCCTTATCGATTCCAATTTTGTATCAAAGCTCATTGACAGTGGCATCTATCGCTTGATCCCGCAAGGTGAAAATACAGATAGTTCTTCTTCATCGTGTACCAAGTCCACCCCCAAGGTTGCATCTGTTTATACGGATCCAGTGTGTCTCAAGAGCAGAAAAGTTACCCGAGAATCTGATGTGTACTCGTTTGGAATGATACTGTTACGACTTTTGACTGGGAGACCAGCTTTGGGGATCTTGAAAGACGTTAAATGTGCATTAGAGACAGATAACTTTGGCACAGTGTTGGACCGGACAGCTGGGAAATGGCCACTTGAAGACGCCGAACTCTTGACTCAGTTGGCATTAAGGTGTTGTGACAAGCATCCATTGAATCGACCAGACATGTCAGAAATCTGGAGTCTGCTCGGACCAGTGAAGGACACATGTATCAACTCAGCACCATGCTTGGAAGCTAAGGAGCTTCGTCGTGCTCCTCCTCATTTTGTCTGCCCAGTTTTTCAGGTAACATCCGAGAACAGTTCTTTGCGGTAGAACTTATTATGCCTGCCATTCATCAACCGCTTTTATCACTTGAACATGTGAATCAATATGTTTGTTTGTGTGTGTGTGTGTATTCTCGTTAGTGATTTTCATGGTCACATGATGCATTTAGCAGCACATGAAGATCCTCCTCGTTTCAGTTTTTCGAGCAAATATAGTTTTCATTTGGCTGAAATGAACATTTTTACTGTGGTTCTTATTTCCATGGTGTCTGTCTTTTGAATTTGCAGGATGTGATGAAGGATCCACTCATAGCGGCCGATGGCTTCACATACGAAGCCGATGCTATCAGAGGATGGCTGGACAGTGGCCACGACACATCTCCGATGACGAATCTTAAGCTCGATCACTGCAATCTGGTCCCAAATTATGCTCTTCAACAGGCAATTCAAGAGTGGCAACAACAATATTGATACTTCATCTTGCTTTTCGTTTCCTGCGCATCTGCCGGTACGGAACATATTACCCGACCTTCGACCACCGGAGCGGATAGAAAGTATATACGTTACTCATACTCGCATGTAAAGCTCAAGGGATTACATATATATATATATATATATTCTCATTCTCATAATTTGTCTTACATTAACTATGCATATAATTTTACGAGATATATTGAATCAAAGTAAAAAACAAAATTATCCTTAAAACGTGATTAATAAATTTGACAGATTTATTTTGATATGCGTAAAAGAGTGAGAGGAAAAAAAGGAAAACATAAGTATTGTTCGCTGACTTTTTAATAGGATATTTTGAATCAGACAATTTTAAAAATCAAAAGAGATACATTTAGTAAGACAAAGAAGTAACATTTTAGGTTAAAGTCAAAAACATTATGTTCTTAATGCCAAATCATGTAAAGTATAACTATTTTATTTATTTTATTTGTAACTTAAAAAGTTAACGTAAAAAATCTCATGTGGCATTCTTGGTTGTAACTGAAATCATTATCGCTTGTCACCTTTTAGACTATAAGGGTAACATTTTAGGTTAAAACATGTGATAATGTAACATTTTGTAACCGAAATTAATATTAATTTTGTAACTTTGGATAAAGTATATAAATGATCCCTTGACTATAAAATATTGTTTTATTAAGTCTCTTAACTATTAAAAGTTATAAAATAGTACTTTAACTATAGAAAGTTATTTTTTGAGATACTCGACTATTAAAAGTAACAAAATGGTCATCATATTCCAAACTCATTATCTTCCGTTAAAGAATTGACGGCAGTTTGAGTTGTACGTTAATTTGTTGACTAGTCTCATAATCTCAAACGACTATCATATCTCACTCAGCATGCTAACGTCCAACTCAGATGAGCGTTAATTTTTTAACGAAACAAGGACAAGTTTGGAACATAATGAATAGTCGAGTGACTATTTTTATAATTTTTAATAGTCGAAGGACTCGATAACTCTATAGTTGAGGGATCATTTTATAATTTTTAATAGTTGAAAGACTCAATAAAATAGTATCCTATAATCAGGGATCATTTGTGTACTTTACCCCTTTTTAGAATTAACATAATAACATTCTAAACTAGAATACACTGTAGAATAACTTCAAATTTTCCTGTAGCACAGCCAAACTACAGGAAACTTCAGGGACTCGGAAGGGTCACTTCTTGGGTCCAAATTGTGGGCAGTCCTGGTCAGGTCGAGGTTCAAGTGATAGCGGCCGCCACGCCGGACCAAGGTCCATATAATTGTCACATAAATTATTGATTCAAAGGAGAACCATTAATTACAGTACCTGTTCTTGTTTTGTCTGATTCAGTAAAGGAAGTAGACATCTTTAATATACTATTAAAGAAATGTGTTATTAATTTTATTATTATTATTTTAATAAAACTCATAAAAATTATTTAAAATATTATTATTTCTACTTAAAATATTAATATTTTTTAATAATTTTGATAAAGTGTCCAATAATACAAAACCGATAACATTTTACTAGATTTATTAATAAAATCAATAAAACACTTAATAATAATAAAATCAGTAAAAATAATAATATTTCTGATAAATTTTTACTGATTTTATTAAAAATATAATAAAATCGATAATATATTTTTTTAACCGTATATTAAGACTTACGTGATCATTTCACTTCACTTCAATAAAAGAATAACATAACATCCTGAAATGCCGTTATTAGACTAAAGTACTGTTTTCTATGATCTTATCAATTTCAAGCCAATGAAAGTGACCAAAGCATAGTGGACAGACATGGTCCAAAAGAGAATTGTATAAAATTTGATTCAAAAATCAAACTCGCTTCAACTTAAATTTTATAAATTTCATTTAAAATTTTAAAATAATATTTGAATAGTAAAATATTATTTACTAATTTATTTAATTAAAAAAATTACTTGATTCAGTCGAATATTCACCCTTATATTTTTCCAACAATTAATTCTTATTTTATTTAAGTACATTTTTAAATCCATTTAGGCAACCTGTTACATATTTTCTATCTTTAAGGATGGATCGAGTTAAGGTCGGATTTTTTTGTCAACCCGGCCTAAAAATATACATCCTTCACTCAACTCCGATCCAAGCTGAAAATTTTATATCCTACATCCGACCCGATATAAAATTAAAGATTTTATTAAAAATAATAATTATTGCATTATTATCCTCAGATCGAGTCAGTTTTTTCACCCTCCACTCGAACCCGACTTCACCCTTAAAATATCCGACTCGACCCGAACCCATTTTTTTTAAAATCGGACCCGATCGGATCGAAAACCATCGTATTCTGGTGAAATTATCATCCCTAGGATAAGTAGAGACCATAACCTTTAAAATGTTAAAAATGTTAAGTTGAAACAATGATAAAATTATTTTTTACCTTAAAAAAATATAATTCATTGTTAACCCTGTAAATTTAGACAAATTTACACAACTCCGACAGTAAATATTGTTATGTTCATTGCTATTAACCAGACATTGTTACGCTTATCCTTAAGCCAGCACAAGTATTGCTGGCATCAACCATAACTGGCCATCAATTTATGATCTACTATGCACTTAATTGCTTTAATGATCTATGCCCTACAAAAATTTGTCTATTAAAATCATATATAGACTTATCAACCACTGCTGCCCCAAGCATGTTTTCTCCGGCATCAATGATATGCAGAGCCCTTGTGGTTACCATGTAATCCGGATTCGAACAGATTGCCGGATACATGTATACACGGTTTTCTTAAAAAATACTTCGCGTAAACTCTAAAGATCATATTATCGGACCTATATCGGATTCTAGTTGAAGAAAAACAAACAGTCGGGATAACTAGCTTAACTAGATGCAAATGATCCAAACATCGTGACATAACCAAGCAAGGTTATATTTCTGGTCCGGTATATGCGGTGATACGGGAAAGATGTCGAAACGAGCAAGATATTAACCACAGAAATCACCAAATGAGCTTACAGTTGCATATTTAAAGAAAGTAATAATGATAATACAACATTACATATTAAAAGAATGATCTATCAGTACCCACACAGTTTATCCCTATGAACTATTCCCTCACTGGATCATCTTTTAGGTCAAGGAATAAACACTCTTCTGACCACTGAAAACTAGCCTTTTAGTTCACTTCATCGTCTAATTATGCCAAAACTATTGAAGAAAGTACGAGTTTCGACCTTCGGATAAATCAACTGAAAGGCTAGTGGTTTAGTGTTGCAAATGTATTTAAACAAGTTTTATGACTTTATGCATGGAGGTGAAACTAAGTTGCATAGTTTACAAAATTCAGCTTACCTCTGGTTGCAACATAGGGAAGAAACTCCAGTTGTTTCCGGGCCTGGCTTCCTTTCCGGAAACCTTTTCATTCGCCCACCATTCAGACCTGACGGTGGGCTTGTCAGAAGATTCTCCTTTTCTGTTGTCAAAATTGAACTCTTTAATTGACCCAAGAGTAACGGAGCGATGCTTTTGATAGCAATGATCCTCTTCAGCTTCTACTGAAACCTTTTCATCTGTTTCTTTGGACGTTTCTCTAATATACAGATCACAAGAATTTTCTGCATCCTTTGTTTGTCCATCTTTTTCTATCCCGCCCTGCACCACCAAACCCTTTGGATATTCATACTCTGGCATGGTTCTGCTTGATGCCAGTGACTTGTTTTTGAGGCAGCGTGCGACATCTTCGCCGCTCAATTCAAAAGAGACCCTGTGATCAACTATAATCTCATCGGTTTTAGGTCTAAGTGTTGGGTTAGAAAACAATGCTACCTCAGAAATCTGACTCTCCACGAGAACACCATCTCTTGAGGCAGGTGTCAATGATCCTGAATCTAATCTTGAACCCAAACCCAGACCATCTGGAGTCACACATCCGGAACCTAGTCGTGAACCTTGCCCCAGTCCATCTGGTGTTAATGATCCAGATCCTAGCCTAGAACCCCATTTCCTAGTAGTAAAATGTTCAAATCCTAAGATTTTGGGAGCCTCCCCCATGCGGAACTCAAGGATCGGATGTCTATCAGGGAAAGGAGAGGATGTGCCTGAATTAGAAATCACCGACCCAGGTGATATGAGATTACCACCAGGGCTCCCAGGGTATATTTGATAAGACTGAAATTCATAATGGGACAATCCAAATTTCTGATTGATCCCACTGTTTTTCCGAGCACGCTCCAATGAAGATGTCAGCAATTGAGCAAATGGTACTTCAGGAGATGAAGGTGTAGTCAGCTGAACAGATTCTGGAGGGGGTGTAAAAGGAGCTGTGGATGGTTCAGTTGTCAAGGTAGAGAATACTGGTGGTGTGACTAACTGGGTTTCATGTGCATAAGGCCCTATGGCAAAAATAGATGCAGGTCCGCAGGGAGAGTAGGTGTTAACCGAAAGAGCAGTTAGGGATAGCAATCCAGCAGGTGATTGGGTGGCAGATGGAGGATCCGATTGCAGGAATGATACAGGAGACGAGGGAGGGGCAATAAAGGGCATTGCAATGCTGGTCGGACTGCTTACATTTTCAGCAGTTGAGACTGCAGCTCTAGGTACCGCTGGTTCAGGGACAAGGACAGCATGGCCAATTCGTTTACTGTTCTTATGAGATCCAAAACACCAGTAAAAGCTCCAGCAGCTTCCCCATCTTTTCTTCTGTATTTAAATAAAAGAGTGCGAGTCAGGATTCCATACAGAAAATAAGTTATTTTCATCCTCAAGCACTCTTTGTAAGGTAGCAAGCAATATACGTAAATTGATTCAATTCTAAACTGCTAGAATAAGATGCTGATGAAGGATTAATGAAGAGCAGGATGAACAAGATGAACAAATAACTATCTGTAACCGCAACATGGTAATGAGTACATAACAATGACTAAATCCGCATAAAAAATTGAAAAAATCTTGTATGCCTGGATCTTATCGTAGCAATATGCTTATAAAACTCCATTTTCCATATTTCTTTGCTAACTTTGCATGTACAATGTGGTACACGTGAAAAAAACAAATAAACTGCACAGCATAAAATACACACACAAACAGCAGAAACAGGTCTCAATGTACGAGTGAGTGTGCTTGTGTGGTATTGTGTGAGCATTGACTATAAAAATCATGCCAAAACTGTTGCCAAAAAGGCAATTTGAGCAAGCATTTACTCTGACCTTAATCGCTGTTTCAGTGATCCAAGGAAGACCACATATTAGACTGCAAAGAACACACTTTTTGAATATAACTATTAGTCCGGGATTATAAGATGAGTCGGTCAATAATTTTGGCTGATCAAATTGCATTCTTCCTAGAATATGCTTTCATAGGCAGATCAATAAGATGGCAAAAAAGGCTAAAAAAATACATAGATCGTTCCTATCAAATATCAAATTAAGCTCCATTTCTTTTACATTGCGTAAACCCCGGATCGACTAATTTTCCACCATAACCAGATATCACAGTGTTCTTCCATAGAAGGACACTAGAATGAATAAAGGAGATGCACCAACCACCCAACCCGTGAAGGAATGACCAAACAAACTTGAAACTACCAGAAAGATTACTTTTTTAACTTAAAAAGAAAAAAAAATTAACTTTCTAAACTCAAATCTGCTCCTTAAAGTATACGCGTAAAGCGATCTTTTATTTCTTTTTCTATTTTTAATTGAATTCCAATGATAAGATTTTCATTTTTGCCGTTTATTCTTAAGAAGCATGAAAAGCAAAAAGGTAAAACTAGAAGGTTGAGTTGACTCTAGCTCAGCTGAAATTTAGAACTCCGGATCCGAATTTCAACTGCTTTAAGTTTTCCCTAAGTTTCTCGGCAACCAAACAGGTAACGGAGAAAATTAAAGTTCAATACTGAATCAGATCACAAATAAATTTCAGACTTTTCAAAATCGAGAAAAGCAAGCAAAGAGCATAAGCATGGCTCTCTTTTTTTTTTAAAAGCTCAACTCTCCGCTCTCTTCTCCCCACGTCTGGATTCTCAATTCAAAAGAGAGCTTGAGTAATCTGATAATCGCGACTTTTACCGTATTTTTCTCGGCAACCAAACAGGAAAAGAACACTGAATTTTGTTTTTTACAAATACTAATAATAAAAGTGGATATACCTGAACGGTGGTAGGCTGGACTCTCGATTCGGCGGAGACGATGGCGGAGGCAGCGGCGTTAACGGTTTCCACGCTGTCGTTTACACTTCTCATCTTCGATTTGTAAGCTCAAAACGATGCGTTAATAGCATCAGCTTCTTGTAAACTTCAAATCTATTCTTAACTCTTGAGATTCAACGAATCTCTATCAACGATTTGAAGACAACTTGAGAGAAATAGAAAAATTAAATTTAAAAATTAGAACTTTTTTTTTGCTTAAATTAATTCATATAGATCAGATGAGAGTTCTGATTTTTATTTTCTTTTGCCTTCTCCTCCGGTTCAGTTCCCATCCAGTCAGTTTTCATCCATTTTGCACCGAGTTTTTGCCACGTCATCATGAAGGATGATGGGACCCACTGCTTTTAGTTTTTTCTTTTTCCCATTTGTTGCTATCTGTTGTATTTTGCTTCCTTTTTTCGGATAAAATTAAATAGAAAAAAATGCTTTTTAATTCAATAATTTATTATTTATGGACTCATTTGGAAAGTTCATGAATGACGCTCTAACCAATCACGAAAAGAATATAATATTAATCTGTTTTTTATTATTTATGGATAAATTATAAGAATATTTTAAAAATTTATACAATTAATTAAATCATAGATAGTTATTTTGTTTTTTTGTTTTAATATAATTTACACAACTTTTATGCTATCCTTTTGATTTTATAAATTGAATATATCAGTTTTAATCAATTCAATCGTTAATGCGATTTAATTTTAGTAATTACATTTGAATTTAAAATAAAAATTATATAGAAGTAAATCTGGGTAACACTTTAAGAAGAATTTCACCGGAAAGGTTTATTCTTTGTTTATTGATAGATCTATAAAAATTGGATATTATAAAAGTTTTTTATTTAGATTATTCTTCTTTTAAAAAAAATTATCACAGTCTGAGTTGCACATTAATATTAAAAATATTTTAAGAAGAGTTTCACTAGAAAAATTTTATTATTTGTTATTCCGACTATTAAAATTTATAAAATAATCACATAACTATTCATATGTTTTAAACTCGTTCTTTTCTGTTAAATAATTGATGACAGTCTGAGCTAAACATTAACATGTTAATTGTGATATGATAAAATCTAATATCAAAATATAAAATGACTACTATATCTAACTCAATAAGTTAACACTCAGCTTAAACTAATATTGATTTTTAACAAAAAAAAGACGATTTTCGAACATATGAATAATCGGATGAGTATTTTGTAACTTTTGATAGTCGATAGACTCAATAAAATAACACAATATAACTAAGAGGTCATTTCGCTACTTTTAATAGTCTAAAAACTCAATAAAGAATCACCTTATAACTGAGACCATTTATATATTTTACCCTTTTGTTTACTATTTTATTTTATTTTTTGACTTATTCATTGATAAAAACAATATTCAAAATTACAAAACAATTAAACATAAAGAGAAAATTTGAGAAAATAATTAATAAAAACTTATGTAAAAATAAAAGTATGAAATCAAAGATACAAAAAAAATTAAAGAGAATCACGACCAATGTCAAAATAATTTAGTAACCTTTATAAAATCTATTTGTCTCTATTAGGGATGAGTCCGGGACTCGAACCCAATGGGTTCCGACCCAATTAGGTCGGGTTTTAAAAGAAAAAAAATGGATTCGAGTCGAGTTTTTTTAGAAGATAGGTTCAGATTTAAAATAAAAAATATTTGACCGAACCGGAAAAATATATAAATATCTTATATATTTAGAGATAATTGTAAGAATATCCCTATTTATATTATTTTTCAATTAAGTCCCTATTTGTTAAATAAAATGAATAGTTTTATACTTTTTTGGGTCCGGTCGCGGTTATGTTTTATCTCATCAGTCGGAACAAATTTTGAGTCGGGTACAATTACTCTAAACTCTTATCAAATTGGATTTCAGATAGAGGTACAAATTTCTCAGATCGAATCAAATTAATCAAAAACTCGACCTAATTCGACTTGTGCCTATCCCTAATCTCTATCCACACTTTACAAAATCATAAAGCAGTGATGACCGAACAAGAAGTAAATTTTATTTCGTAGATAACAGTTTGACGGGACTACCCTTGGATTTTATTTAAATTTCAGATGATACCACGCAGTTATGGCTAAAAGGCCAGAAAGGTGTGAGAAACTCGTGACTTTTTGTAATGCAGTGTGCTGTTGCAGTGTTGCTGTGTTGCATTTACCATTTGTCGCTAATGCCGATAACCAGTTTGAACGTTTATTTTAACTTGTTCTCTTTCTTAACCTTATTTGTAAGGAAAAACATAATTTTGTTATATTACTTTAAAGGCTTAAATACACTTTTAATATATGAACTAAATATAATCTTCCAATTTAGTACTTGAAGAAATTTTATTTCTAAATTAATACTTGAACTAAGTATAATTTTTAAGCTGATAACCTTTTCTCTTGACCCTAAAATTTTTAGCCGCTTGTTCCCTAGTTTCTTTGGATGTAGGTGGTGACATCGATCTTAGTGTTAATTGCTACTGTTAGCTTTTTTTTCATATTATATATTTATTTTTTTTGTTTCGTTTATTTTTTAGTAATTATGTTTTTATAACATGATTTATTATGTTTTTTAAATACGTTTTTCTCTATTTTTTGGTACGCTTTCGATCATTTTGAAGTTATTTTCGTTTATTTTTTCAGGGTTAGATTTGATACCGACACGACTGATCAAGATGATACTTATTTGTTATCATATTGATCTTCCCTACTTTAGACCCTCAGATTGATTTGGATACGCGATTTGTGTTTGTGGATAGTTTTCTCACGTCGTTCGACTCTGATTTGCGATTTTCCGGTGGTCTTTCAGTAGCTTGATTTCATTTTGTGGTTCGTTTGCCGATGCAATTAGATATGTTCGTATATATATTTTGTTCAATCTTTTTTATTAGATTTTTAAACATTTTCCTTCTTTGATCCTTGTATAATATTAGTGATTAACTTTTACATCAATTTTCATAAAAGAATGTTCTAATTATATTTTAACTTACGTTTATAGTTACGCTTGTAAACATTTTTTTATAATATTGGATACTTCTTATTTTTATAGAACTAGTGACATTCTATAAAAAAAATTAAGTTGATATCTACAAAATTTTTACTCTTAATTTGATATCTTAACTTTAGTTATATATATTATTTTTTGTAATTTTGTTAATGATATTAATAAATAAAAAATCTGAAAAATAACAATAGGGTGAAATATAGATGATTAAAATCGAGCACTCATTGACGGGTTGGTTCAAGAGATAAGCATCTTGATTTTGTTCAAGCATATCTTGAGTTCGAGTCTTCGTAATCTTCTTTGAAAATTCACCATTAAAATCAAATATACGACCTATGTTATTCCAAATTAATCAAAACGAGAGAAAAAAATCAAGCATTCAAACCAATCAAATCACCGAATACCACCGAGTGTGGATGACTAAAATGACCGAGCCTTGCAAACGTCAGACGGGGACAAGGACGAGCAATAGTCGGCTAAATTTGCGACGTTGGGAGGGCCGGAGGGGGTGTTCTCATTCACAAACCCCAACAAAAAGCAGGCAATTTCCGTTACATTTTAATAGTAATAATAATTGTTTCTTTATTTGTTGTTTACGTTGGAACAAGGGAAAGTCCATCGTGAAAGGCGCGCACGTGCGGTGATCCACTTGTCGGGATCATGTGTGTTTTTCGTGACAAATTCCTCCGTTTTCATACACTATGCTTTTGCACGGTTGCTTCGGTTACATACACCGTTATCTCTTTGCCTCTTCCCTTGATAATGATATCTCAACTCCCATCCTCTTTTGGCTCTTTCTCCCTCGTTTTCTTTCCCCCTTCTCTATTATTATTATTATTTTGATAATGAAATCTCTTTCGATAATGACACTTATTAATATAAAGTATATAAATGTTACTTTAATTATAAGATATTATTTTATTGAATCTCTCGATTATACGATATTATTATTTTTAGTCTTTCGACTATTAAGTTATAAAATGATCATTTGATTATTAGTTGTGTTTTAAATTCGTCATTTTTCATTAAAAATCGATAACAATATAAGTTGTATGATGACTTGTTGATTGAGATACGATAGTCGTTTGAGATTTTGAGATCAAATTATATCATATAGCGATCAACAGGTTAACGTCCAACTCAAGTTGTCGTATTTTTAATGGAAAATTATGAATTTGGAATGCAATGAATATTCAAGGGAAACTCATTTTGTAACTTTTAATGGTAAAGGGAATTAAAAAAATAACATTTTATAATTGAGAGATAATTATGTAACTTTAATAAGTTGAGATACTCAACAAAACAACACTCTATACTTGGGAGACCATTTATGTATTTTACCCTAATATACATTGGTGTGTTATTTATTTTATTTAGATTTAAGAGTTAATATTTTAAAATTTAAGATTATAATTTATATTTATAATTTATTTACTCTCGATTCATTTAAAGATGATTATAAGATTATGTTTGTTAAAAAAAAATCTACCAACAACCAGTTGGTCTGGTGAGATGAGACACTAGATCTCATAAATAAGGTCAGTGGTTCGAATATTGATAATTACGAATGAAACAAACTGAGTTGAGGAGGATTGTCATCGCATCTGTATCACATTATCTGAATTAATCGATCAATAGATGGTTTCTTGATTGGGAAGAGTAGATAAACTAACCATTTCCATTAAATGGTTTTATAAAAATGCTTGATTGTTACTTTTTTTACTATGTTTGTTTATTCCCGTTTAACTTTTTACATTGACCCTGTTTAGCTTTTTACCAAAGCTTTTGCATTGATCATTTTTAGGTTTTTACCCGATACTAGAAGATGGTAGTGAGGGGGGACAAGGTGGATTGCATAAGGCAATGATTCATGCATCAACTTCCAATCTTATAATATATAAATATTCATCTTCTTATGTATATTTTATTATTAATTTTCATAATGGGGCTATAAAGGTCCAAATTATGATGATTCACTTTCCTGGTTCCAACAAGTGTAGGATATGGACAAGGTAAAAAGCCATCTTGTTTCAACCAAAAGTAACAAAATCTTTATTACCCCATATGAAAAAAAGGGTGTTACTTGAGAGTAGGATGGCAAGTTCACCCGCATTTGGTAGGTTTTGATTCAATCCGATTTGATCAAATTAATTTTAAAAAATCAAGTTGGATAAGATATTTTAAGGAGTGAAGTCGGGTCGGGCCAAGTTTAGGTGGAGGTT